TTCCCACAGGGCCACGTAACCCAGACCGGCTCCCAGCCCGTCCGACATAACCCCGGGGAGGAGGGGGACCGTCATCATCCCGGCCCATGGCCCCATCCGCATTGACCACGGGCCCCCTAGCCCCACTCGGCCACCACCCCACCCATGCCACCCCTACTCACGCCACCACTACCCACTACCCCTACCCTACCCCTGTCCCCCACCTTGGAAAGATGGACTCCAGTACCTGGCGACATGGGGGGTCATCCACGAGGGGGGGGGAGGGAAGGAAAAGGTGGCGTGAGCCGCGTGATGGGCCGCAGAGCTACCGAGGTGGATTCAGCACGGTCTTCTGACCGCTACGACAGCTGGGAGCAGGATGGCAAGGAAGCCACATGTGTTCCGATGACGATGTGCCGTAGGTGGCTGTCGCCACCTGCATACCCTCCCCCTCCCTCGCCCCCCCCACACCGTCCTCCCCAAGCCCGGCTACAGCTGCCTCGCCAGTTGAGTGTCGAAGGCCTCACAAGCCGGCGGCCACGGGGGCTGGCGGCCGGGACACCAAGAGACGTCCTTCACCCGCCCCCCGCCCCCGCGGGCCCCCCTCTACCCACCTTGTGCTCGTGCTCCAAAAGAGCCTCCAGTTTGCGCTGAACCTCAATCTGGGGGTGCGGGTTCGGGTGTTTGTGGGTTTGGACAGGGTTAGGGGAGGAGACGTAGGGGACATAAGGGGGATGAATCAACCCGGGGGGCGGGAACGGAGGTCCGCGGGGAGGGGAGGGGAGGGGAGGGTAGAGCCGCAGTGGGGAGTCAGATAAACGGTTGGCTCCTATCTGAAACGGGAGTGCCTTATCTGGAGTCTATCGCCCGGGAGCTGCACGCGTCAGGACCGGGTGGGGTCAGGCGAGCAGAGAATCAGGAGAATCCGGCAGCACCACCCACCCCGTGGATCACCCCGTGCTGAGCATACGGGGGCGAAGGGGGTAGAGGTACAAAGAGGCAGGGCCCGGCAAGGAGGACAACAACCACTGGTCGCAAAAGAGCGGGCACACTGCGCCTGACCACACTTCCGCTACCCCCCACCCACCCCACCTCCCCAGCATCCCTAACTAATGCAGAGATCCCCCGCGCCCTCCAAAAACTGAAACTGACGACCCCCGTGCGCACAAACTCCAACACACATACACACACGCCCAGGAAGGCCCCCGCAGTCCATACTTTCCGCCATGTACGGCAATATGCATTGCAGGATTACCTGTTGCAGTACACACTACGCGCCGTACCTGTTCGGTCACCTCGGTCTGCGTGATTACCGCCACCGCGCGCCCACTTGACGGTTCCAAGCGCACACACGCATACACGTCGTGCCACTCGTGCTCGTCGCCCGGCTCTTCGTCCTCGCTTTCGTCGCGGGACAGTGACGTCAGCAAGCTCATCAACCGGTCCTTGGTGTTACGCCGTCGTAGTGGCGGCGGGCGCGCTGACATGCCGCTGGGCGTCATCATACCAGACCCCGTGCATGTTGCCGTACCGCTCGAACCGCCGCGGACGTCAACAGCGGGGGAACTGACGGTAGCAGTGGCGGCCGCCGCCGCGGCGGGGCCGCCGCCGCCGCCGCCACCATCTTCGACTGCCGTGCTCAGCGGTGCCGGACAAGTGACGGCGCTGCTGAGCACCGACGGCGCCGCCAAGGGCGCTGCACGCTTCACCGTAAAGCTGCCGTACCTGACGGTAGCGGCGGCCCCGCCGCCGACGGCGCCAACGGCGAGGCTATCTCCAGCAGCCCAAGTCCGGTGTAGATCACCGGTGTCCCCACCGCCGCCGCCGCCGCCGCCGCCACCGCCGCCGCGCTGCCCCGGGAACACTTCCCCTTGGCCGTTGAGGCTGGGATTTACCAAGTACTGTTCCACTTCACCTGGCGTACCAGTGAACGTCCCCCGGCCCTGAACCACCACGTGCAGCTGCCCCGCAACGCCGTCCAGTGTGGCACCGGACGATATGCCGAAATCCGACACTATCGTCGCGTGCTGATCCATGCAGCCAGCGTCGCCCAACTGCCCCTGCCTGCTGCCATTATTATGAACGTAATCCACCTCGCGAGTTGTTGCCGCTCCGCGGAGGAGCTCAACGACGTCCACATCGGCGCCGACATTTGCATTGAGCTGCGACGCAGAGGCGGAGGCGGTGTCCTGCTGGGTTGGGGGCCCTGAAGGGCCCCTGGACGACGGGCTGCTCAAGCCCGACGCCGTGCAGTGGGCGGCACTTCCCGTTATTGTAGGAGGAGACTGCCGCGGCCCGTGGGGGGCTCCGCGACCCCCGAGCCCCTCGCTGCTGGGTCTCCCCTCCGCCCGGCTTACTGCAGGGAAGGCCAGGCTGGGGGGAGGCGGCAGCTGAGGGCTCGAAGTCCGGTGGGTCAGGGAGTCCTGGGGTTGTAGCTGCCCTAGTGGAAAACGCAATGACGCATCGCCCGCCGCCACCGCCGCCGCCGCTGCCGCCGTCGTCGACGCCACCGCCGCGGCACCTGTATCCGCCACTGTCGCCATCTCCATCATCGCACCGCATTCGGCGGTGGCAGCGCCGGGAGCCCGGGTGCCCTGGCCGGCGGCACCCGATTGCGTCTGCCGTGTTGCAGCAGATGCAATCGGTGAATGCGCAAGACGTGGCGGTGCCTGCAGTCGGTGCACTACCAGGGAGCCGGACAGCTGGTAGCTGTCCGCCCGGGACAAGCCCGAGAGCGCGGATCCGAAACCCCGAAACACGCCGCTGCCGATGCCTCCGGCCCCGCCGGCACCGCCGCCGCTGCCGTACCCTAGGTCTTCCGTCTCGAGTAACCCTGACGCCAAGCCAAGGTTGAGGCTGGGCATCGCCGCGTTGTGGCTAGGTGTGAGGCGATCCAAGCCGCCGCCGCTGCTGTTTAGGTGTGCCAGCACGACGCTAGGCAGGTTGAAGCCGCCCACACCCTCCACCTGCTGCTCCACCGCCACCTCCAGCTCTCCGCATTCCAGCAGCATGCCGCTGCTGACGGCGGCGCTGCGACCGCCACCACCGCCGCCGCCGCCACCGCTGCTGTCTACCTGGTGCCGCATAGTGCTGCCCGCCGACCAGTGCGCCTCCGACGCCAGTGCCATAGGCGGTCGCGGCACCAGATCCCCCTCCATGTCCGCCGGCTCCTCCTCATGACTGCCCCGTTGCTCGCCGCCCTCCTCCTGAATAGACGACAGCAGGTTGCAGCTGCTGCGGAAGCCCGGGGAACTGCCGCTAGCGCCGGACCCAACCAGACTGCTGACGCACGCAAGCAGCGGCCCGGCGGGTCCCAAGCCGGGGGGGGACCCTGCCGCCAGCATATCCCGCGGCACCACCGCTGCAACCCCCGACATGCCGGGACCCCGGGGGCTCCCCTGCACCCGCAGCGCCGCCGCCACCGGGCTCAGCGGCGCGCGAGTGGCACCGCCGCTGCCGGGAGAACCAGCGGTGGAGGCGGCGATGCCAACGGGATTAGAGCCGTACTGCCGAGGGCCGCCCAACGCCGAGTCCGGATGGTGCACTGGGCCCATCACCTCCTGGCCGTTCGCATCCATGAAAGTGGGCTGCACCTCCACCAGGCTGACCGCCAGGGGGCCCGGCGACGGAGCCCGATCCCGCTTGGGGTCCGCATACGTGTGCGCGTGTGCGTCCAGGTACGGGTTGTCAACGGAGCGCGACCGCAAGAGGCCGCCGGCTCCCCCACGCACGCGAGCCGAGGTACGCGGTGACGTGGCGTTACTGGATGTGCCGCTGCTGGCGAACAGCATGCCGGTGCCGGTGCCCTTGCGGCTGCTGCAGCCGCTGGCCGCCAGGCCCACGGGCTCAGCGCTGGCGGAGCGGCGGAAGGCGGAGCTGGCGGAGGCGGCCAGCGCGCCGATGGCAACGGCACTTCCACCGCCGCCGCCGCCCAGCAGGATGAACGAGCCGTGACGGCCGACACGGGAGCTTCGCGAAGACGAGACCAGGGAGGCGCGCTCTGTGGCACTTTCGTCGTTAACAACGGCACCCAGCCCCAGCCCCAGGCCGAAACCCAGGCCCAGGCTAGCACCCGAGTCAGCGGCCGGCCTGTGCGAGTCCGTGCTAAAATGGAGCTGTGGGTGAGCAGGTTGCGTGACGGCGCTGCGACCAAATGACCGAGTGAGGGGCAGCTTGGCATTGGGGGCCTCCCTGTCGAGGTTGAGCTGCGTCAGGGAGCGGGAGCGCTGCGAGGCAAGAGTCCCGCGGAGGCTGCTGTTGTCGTCGTCGGCAAAGAGACCGCTGACGCGGACATCGGTGTCGGTTTTGCTGGCGGTGCTTTGACGTCCCGGAAGCTCTTCAGGATGGCGCTGTAGGTGCGGGTGTTGCATGTGTGCTTGTTGATGGGATTGCGGCGACGTGCCGGTGGCGGTAGAGGGGGCGGGAACTCCAGAGAACGTTTCCTGGGCGACGGACACCGGCTCAGCGGAGGCAGCGGCCAGGATGCGGCCTGGTACGCAGATTAGCTGCACCGTGCCGATGGTTTGTTGTGTGCCATGTGAGGTGGTGCCGTCTTCGCTGCCACTCCTCGTGCCCGTGCTGGTTCCCCCGACGTGCTCATGCGGACCCGACAGAGGAATCCCCGACGGCAAATCGCGCAAGTGCTCATCCGTTGCTGCACGCACTGCCGTCTGATCAAATGACGTACCCCCGCCGACGGCTCCTTCGCCGCCGCCGCCGCCGCTGACAGGCCCAGGTTGCGCCGCCTGCAGCGGCAGCCCAGACGTCCACGCCACGGCCCCGCCAGGTCTGCCCGCGTTCGCTGCCGCTGCCGCTGCCGGCGGCAGCGGCCCTGCTCCACCCTGACTGTCAGCCCTACTGTTGAGGAGCACCGGATGGATCACCGCCGCTGCCGTAGCCGCCACCTCCGCCAAGTGTCCCGCGGTAACGGGGGGTTTCAGCAGCCGTGGCTCCGCACGCAGTCCCCCGGGGCCCACACCCGTCGTCCCGAGGAACGACGGCTGGCGGCTGGCGACGGTACTCCCCGGCCGCGATGCGCCTGGGCTGACTATGCCCACACGACCTGCCAAGCTCATTACAGAAGTACAGCGCCGTACGGAGCGCCGCATGCCGCCGCCGCCACCTGCGGCTGCGGCGGCAGCCGCTGCTGCCGCCGCCGCCCCTGCTGCCTGCCCTGCTCCTCCGCCGTGCATCATCATCACACCGCTCCTCCTGCCGGCCGCAGCAGCTGACGCAACGCCGGTGAGGATCCCACCTCTGCGACTGGAGCCGCCCAGAACCCCGCGCATGCTGCCCGGCGATATCCGCGTCACGGAGCCCTCCCGGCTGACCAAGCCGCTCCGAGCGCTTCGCAAGCTGGTGTTACCTCCGCCACCGCCGCCGCCACCCAGGGTGCGGCCGCCGCCGCGACCCCCTTGGCCGATAACCTCCAGCCCCTCCCCACGCGACCCCGGGCCCTGCGCGGCGCCCGGGGCCCCTACACGCCCAATACTCCCCTGGCCATCCGGACCTCCGGCCTGGAGGACGAAGCGGCTCCCCCCGGGGCGGTCCCGGTTAGCGGCCGACCGCGCACGGGGCCCATGTCGGCCGGGACTGTGCTGCCCCCCGGCTCCCCCGCTGGGCCCCGTGGCGACACTGGCGGCAGTGGGTAACCCGTGCTGAGGCTGCTTTATCCTCCGGGGCACCTTGATCACCCGCCGGAACTCCTGAAGGAGAGGAGAGGGGGGTGAAGGGGTGGGTGGGTTGGGGTGGAGGGGGTTGAGAGGAGCCACGTACCCCGGAGGGGGAAAGGGAGGGTTTGAGTAGGATCATACCAGACAAGATGCAAGGAAGCAACAGCCGACGTCCAAAGCCACGAGCCCAAGGTAAGGAGAGGGGGAAAGGGGACGGGTACGTACCGGTACCTGCGTATGCGACCCCAAATGGTGCTGGAGTGGTGTAACGGAGGAAAGAGACAACGACCGGTCGGTGATGGCGTGGTGGAGGGGTGTGGAAGGCGATAGGAAAGAATGCACATACAGGCGCATACAGGCGCGCGAGGAGTGAGATGCGGGTTGGGGAAAGGGAGGTAGCCAGCCGCTTGCAACCCCAACCCCCAAATTCCGCTCGCGCTCCCCCTCTGTCCCCTCCACCAGCGGCAGTTGGACGTCGGCAGCCTCCCCCTCGCCATCCCCCACTCACAGTCTCAGTCGCCATGGCTATCTCAAACGCCTGCATCGCTTCCGGGTCGAACCGGAAGAGCCGCTTGAGCGGGTGTGTGGAGGCGGACAGCGCCGTGAGGGAGGCCCCCGGCTGGGGCGTGTAGCTGCTGACCAGGTTCCCCATGTACTGCTGGCTGCGGGGGTTCTGGTACACCACCCGCCTGCGGGGCGGGGCGGGTGCGCCGGTGGGAGTGTAGTTTGGGCGGTCAAGTTAAACCTCCGAGATACAGGTCTCTATGGCTGTGCTGTGCTGTGCTGTGCTGTGGTGCGGTGTGCCGGTCTAGGCCAGGTGTCTGGGCTTCAGTTGAAAGGTGCGCGCTAGCGCTACTGCGGGGCCGCTACTACCCATCGGTCCCAGGACTACGGTGCCCGGAGCGCCGATTGAGGCGCAGTGGTGGTAACACAGTGCCTTCACATGCCAAGAAATGGACTAACGAGGTTGGACCGCTTGGGGGCTTTGGGGGGGTTCCGTATCCCTGGTCAGTCCCTGAACCGGCCCTGTGGCCCTGCGGCCCTGCACATTCCCAGGTTTCTTCTCCTGCCCTGCCCTGCCCTGTCTGAGGCCGTGCACCCGCCTCACCCGTCCAGCAGCATCGCCGTGACAATGGCGGGTATGGTGGTCAGCGCCATTTCCTGTTGCCGCATGGCGGATAGGTCATCCAGACGGCTGAGCTTGTGGGACACGGCCAGTGCCGGCCGGGCCCCCCCAGAGCCCTCCGAGGACAGCAACCCCCCGGCATCCTCCACCAGGCAGGACTTGACCTGGGGTGCAGCGGGGGGAAGCCGGAGGGGGGGAAAACCCCGGACGGCACAGAGGGCACATGCAAGTAAGAGTTAGCAACATCACTGCCTAGAGCCAGTGGGGTACGTGGGGGAAGTGGAGGCTACAAGGGAAAGGGGACTTGGGGAGGGCGGGAAATGGACTTGGAGATTTCGCCCACAGTGCCCATGTCACCCACGTGGTGAGATGAGGAAAGCCGTTGCAGTGATGTCGTAATGCGAATATGTGAATGAAGGCCCGGGCCGCTGCGCCGCGCCCTGCAAGTCAGCCACCCCACGCACCCCGCCCCGTCCGCCGCATAACCCGTGCCTCCGGCCAGTTTTCCCCTCCCCAACCAACTAGCCAACCAACCAACCGACTGACTCAGTCAGCCCACCGTGAGAGTGAGGTTATAGACTCCGTCATGGAGCTGGACGCCGTCCTCCAGCGGGTATACCACAGTGCCGGCGCAGTGGCTGGAGGCGCACCTGCTTGCAGGGGCCCATGGGAAGGGTGTGTGTAGCATGGGCCAAGACGGGAGAGAGCGGAATGGGATGGGAACAGGTGACGGTGCACCCTGGGGCTGGGGCGGTGATGATGGGCTGGTGAGGAGCCGCGTCAGCTGCAGCGCATGGCAGGGATGAGCGTTCGCAAGTTTAAGACCCCGGTAAGGGGTGGCGGTGGTTGCGCTACGTGGTGTGGTATGGCGGGGGGGAGAGGGGACGGGAAAACGTGTTTCTCAGGCGGTACGAGACTCTAGCACGGCCTGTGGGTCCCCCTGGTAAGAAAAGCCGTCGAGGAGCTAGCTAGCATTGCATGTACGAGTTCACGGGAAGAGGGGCCAAGCATGCAGCTGTGTGTAAGGCTGCGTGCGGCTGAGAAGGCTGCGAACGGCGTGGCGTCGGTGTAGTTGGGACGATGGGTAGGGGGACGGGAAGAGCGGGTTTGTGTGAAGTGAAGCTGATGTGAGGTAATGTGAGGTAATGGTCGACGGTGGGGCGGGATGTAGGGCATGTGAAGTTTGGGCCGTGTCGTGTGATGATGCTACCGACCGGCCATCAGGAAGAGGGACGTCGACCGGGGTAAGGAAGGGGGGGTGCAGGTGCAGGTGTCAGGGAGTGATGAACGCTGGGGAAGCGGCAGTCCGGGGCAAAGTAGAGCCTTCACTCGAACCAAGGGGGCATCAGCCACCCCTACTAGATGTACAGCTGGACCACGGCGTGGCTCGGGAACTATGCTGGCGCATGCCCCTGTCCGCCAACGCGTGTCCTTCCATACCTCACGAGCTTTGCAAATTGCTCTGCGAGCTCTGCATCAGCCACCAGCCATGCCCCAAGCCGCATGAGGTAATCCTGCGGGATGGGGTGGGCAATTTTTACCCTGCCAGGTCTCCACCATTCAGGTTACCGCAACGACATCCCTGTGCCGTGCACACCTGACGGCTGCTGCAGCCTAGATGATTTAATAATGAGCCAGATGCAAAGGCAACGCTGAAAACCTCGCTTGCCGCCGTGCCCTCAGTGCCACATATGGTCGGGTCGGCGTCATCGCGAGCAAGCACAAGATAGGCCAAAAGATCTGCATCCGCTTGCTTAGGTTGTCTTATGAACAAGTCAATATTGACCCGCTCGAGTCTTGCGCAACCACTCCTGCCGTCTGCAAATGGTGCCACGGAATTGCTGTCCGAATTAGCGTTGTGCGACTTAGAAAGCCTAGACTACTCAGGCTAAAGGTAATTGATGTGGTTATGCCATTTCGCACATGCCGTTTCACACCTGGATGTATGTCATCGGAATTGAGTAGCCGTTCGCGAGACCGGCCGTGAACTCCTCTCGATGGGCAAAGGCAGCCAAGCAGCCCACCCAGGCCCATCTCGCGGACCTAACCTGCGGCCCTGACCTAGCTGGGCTCCATGCGTCAAGGCGTACTTCCTGTCAGAACCTTCGGACAATTGCCATTTGAGCGTAACTGGCTACAACAAATGGCCAATCCTTATGTACACCAGGTAGCATTACTTTGGATGTGGTATGTGCTTCTACGTCCTGCCTCAAATGATCGTCCTGTACGGCCTGTGAGGACAACCGCTGTAGCCGCGTTACTGAGCACTAGCTGCCATCATTACGTAAAACTCCCGAACCTCATTCCTCTGGCATGACTGGCTCATTGCGTTAACCGCTTTCATGGAAAGCGGTTCGTAACCTGCCAACGATAGCTGATGCCTCTTAACCTAACGTGGGTTATGTCCTAATATCATCGATTGCATATATTCTTAAATTTATCTCTACATTGTGTCGTAGATGTACATGTGCGTGGCCTCGGGAGGGTTTGTCAGTGTGGGAGTTCGCTGCGTGTTCATGCCGCCCGAAAGGACAGGCGCAGAGATGTGTAATGGACAAAATAACAATCTCAAGACGTTCAGGACGCCGGGAAGCCGATATCTTCACACAGGTTGGTGATTTTTACATCGCCGACGGAAACCTGACAGTAACCAACTGGCCAACCGCCAAGCGGAACCCTCTCTTTGTGTAAGCAGCTACACACAGCGACTTTATCGGTTCGATGATACATATTGCGCAAACTGTATGCTTCCCCGCGGCGACCTATGGCTGCCGTGAATAGCAGCGCAGTTCCTATGCAGTACGCCTTACCGCCCAGTTCCTTTGCCTTCGTAAGCTAACCTGCTCGCAAGCCTAACTCCCGTCCCATAACCTGGATATTCATATGGAGTTCATTTTCAGAAAACGAGATCATGAAGCAGCAACCGACAACGTTCTCAGTGCCCTAGAGCCTAAAGCCGCCCCCACCGGAGCCCCTGGCTACAAAATCCCACACGCCGCGGACATACGACAGGTGCTGTCCTTTAAATATGTTAAGCCGTGCGAAGAAGAGCGGCATATGCAGCTGAAGGACGGCTTCAGGAGAGCAAATTCGACAATTGCTGGAGCGCGTCGTTCGTGTAAAACACTATGTGAACATATTGTGAAGCTGAGCCGCAATAATGTTCCCCCGGGCGGTCCCATGGTTTGATCCCTTTGGGTCAGTTGGGATTTAGACCAACGTCAGACCAACGCCAGGCCAGCAGGCAGGAGGAACGCAAAAGAGGCCCCCGGACAGGCTCCAGTTGCGTGCTATGTGTGCGGAACCCAGGCCCGCACCGGCCCCCCACCGGTCCTCCTCACATGCGACATCACAGGATTTGCCGACCTCTGCTTCGAGAAGCACAGGACAAGCATCATGAGCCGTGCAGATCAGGAGCGTGCTAGCCGGTCTGGCTCCCCGCTTCCGGCGCACAACGTGATGGGTCCATCACGCAACGTCACGGGATGCCACAGAGCCCCTACCCGCCTCACTGTCCACTCCATCCTCCGCTGACACCAGGTTGAACATCGGGGTTTTCCAGGATCCGTTGTGACGTCATCCACATCAGCTTCCATCAGTCCTCCCCCCGTCGGTATGTATATATTACAGTGTTGTTTGTAGTCTGTTGAGAGTCCTCCAGAAACCTCCGTACGCTACACATCCTCCCACCTCCCCGCCCTTTCTGTCCTGGTCACAAAGTTTACTGGCAGGAACCTCCTCCACTCTTTTCCTGCAAAGTCCGCCGGGCCCGATTCCATAATGGTGTGTGTTTCCCTGGCCGGGGCCCCGGCGTGGCCCATCCACGCGCAGCACCCCCCTCCCCCTCTCTCTCTTCGACCGCTGCTGCTGCGTCTGCTACTGATGCTGCTACGCCTCTGTCAACTCCGTAGCCGGCCCCCACAATCCTCGTGTGTGTATGTATGCATATGTGTATGTGTTCACGTCCTCAGTTTTGATCCACTCAGCTCGTACAACAGAATGTGCTCCACTTGGCACGGCTTGGGCAGCGAGTGCGGCTGCAGTCGCTCAACCTGGTGATGCAACCCGGGGTTGCAGCAGGAGGGGGAGCAGCTACGTGACACGACCTGGCGCTGTGTGCCGCATCGGTACATGGAGCTGAGCTGAGCTGAGCTGAGCTCAGGTGTGGTGTGGTGAGGTGTGTGGTGAGGTGGGGGCCGTAAAGGGGGCCGCGGCCCTGCCGCTATGACGTTGCAATGGACCGAAAGGCAGGCCAGCTGCGTCTGTAGCCCTGGTTCCCTCTACCCACAACAGTCGGCAGTTTATTCCATACATCTCCATAAACCCCTGCACCGCCTACTACCAGCCCACCCAGCCACAATGGGCCGCCCCACCTTTGCAAACGCCTTGCTGGCTTCCTCCACGAACACCCTCTGCACCTCGGAGCTGCGCAGTTCGAAGCACACCAGGCACCGAGTAATGGGACCGCACAACAGTGCGCACGTGCGGACAAAGTGGGGCGTACTGGGGCTGGTGCCCTCCTGCAGCGGGACCAGGGGGAGTGGAGAGCTGGTTGAGAGGGTGGAAGGGTTTAGGCCAGTGGGGGAGGAAACGGCCACACAGCTACGGGGACTGCCCCTCACAACCTTGCGAAGAGCCATCGGCCCCGGGGGTGAGAACCGCCAAGCTATTTCTGTGAAGGGAAAGAGGAGACAACCCTTCTCACCCCCCTTCCCCAACGTGGCCTACAAAGTCCCAACAGCCCAACAGCAACATGGCGGTCCCCGCATGTCCCCGCACTCGCCTGGTCTATGTAGCAGCAGTCCGCGGCCAGGCACCAATCCACGGGCTCCGAAGCCAGCCTCGCCACCACGTGATCGTAACCCTCCTTGCCCCACTCTAGCTCCTCCGAAACCGCATAGCCCTCAGCTGCACCGCGCCTGCTGCCCAGGGTCGGGAGATGTCAGGGGGGGTGCACGGAGACCTCGAAGGACATCAACCGCAAGGGCCTTAAGAGTGCTGCAGGAACCAGTTTGTGCTCCATGACCCTAGCAGCTGAGACAGCGGAGCGACATTCTCTTCTGTATCCTCAGCGGGGGCGGGGTGGGGTGGGGTGGGGGAAAGACGAACCACGGGGTGGGGTGGGGGCCTGCCATATCATAGCTAGCAGGTATCAGGACGTGGAGGCCAGGGAGGGAGGGAGAGAGGAAAGCGGGAGAGAGGGGGCTTCCAGAAACGAAGAAGCCATCCCCCTGAGCTGAGGTCCCACGTGTACCTTTGCTTCAGCCCCACGCCGTTGGCCTCAATGTTTGCATCGATAAGGGGCAGCACCTTGGCAATATCTGTGATGTGCACCTGGGTTGAGGTGGGGTGGGGTGGGGTGGGGAGCCGGGCGACATAGGCGGAGTAGGGTCTGGTAGGCAGGGCAGGGCCCGGCAGGGGCCGCGGCAAGGATAAGCACAAAGCCCCATGCCGTTCACTGATGTTCAGCCCCCGTGTGGTTGATCCCCTTTCCTTAACCAACCTCCAGCCAACTACTCGAGCTCCATGTTTTACCCCTGGGCCAAGGGTCCCCCTTCCCCTGCTGGTCTTTCTTTGGTACCGCCATCGCCCCGCCCTCTCGCTGCCTGTCTGTCTGCCTGTCTGTCTGCCTGCCTCACCTTGGCCCCCATCTTGGCGAGCAGTATACCCACAAGCCCAGGACCAGCCCCCAGCTCCACCACCCGGCAGCCCACATAGCGGTACGTGGGCAGGCTGGCTGACACACCACCAGCACCACAACCAGCACCACAACCAGCACCCGCACCACCATATCACCATGTGGTGGTGTCGGCGGGTTGGGAGAAAGGGGATGTGGGGGTGGTGCGAATATGGGTGGAACGCGAAAGTGGGCCGGTAGGGTTGTGGGTTGCTTGCAAGGGAGACGCCAAATGTTTTGGGACATGAAAAGCAGAAGGCAGGCGGGCTGGAGACAAAGCAAAGGCTCCTGGGCGCACGGAGCAACGGGTTGCTATTCGGTTTCTTTACCCTTTACCCACCCACCCAGGTAGGCGGCCAGGAAGAGCTCTCCCTCCCACACACACGCCCCCACCCCCATGCGGGTTGCGTTGATGGCTTTGGGCTGCGTAGCGGAAGCAGGTTCGGATTGGAGACACGGATCGGGAGGGAGCCAGGAAGGCCGATGAGAGGGAGTTTAAGGAAACAAACCAGGACAGATGGAGTCGTGAAGAGGGGTAGGGTCGTGGCCACAGGGCGCCTGGTTGAAGAGAGGACCTATTCGCAGTGGACGTGGTCGCTCTGCAGAACCCCGGGAAGGCACTATGAAAGTTTGTAGATCGAAGAATGGATTCAAGTACGTATTAGCATGAGGAGGCCGGGTGCTTGGGCCGCTTGCTGGCGGTGAGGATGCCCAGGGCGCGGACGGCTGGTTGGGGGGTTGGTCGGCTAAGTCCTACCGTGGCATTTGACATGCTAGCAGTTTCATATTTTTGTCATAGCCATAACACCATAACATACATACTACTAATAGGAAAGTTCAGTATCAAAGTTGACTGGGGGGGTGCCCTGATGTCGGCGTGCACAACGAACGACGCCGATGGGTCGCGCCTGCTGTCTTATCATGACGGACTTGTCGTCTTCCACAGTGAGGGTTAGTTCGTCAGCTGTATGGAGCACCCATCGGTCAGTAATCTCCAACTGCCTTTCATAGCGTTCTCCATCCTCCCAGCCCTTAATCGTGAGCCTTAACCCCTCCATCAACTTATTACGTGTTTACGGATTCGTGCGTGGCACGCGTGCTCCATCGCCGTTATGTGTAAACTGTATTAGTCGTAGAATGTTTGTTCGTTTGTTTGTTACAATCTTCTTGAGCTCGTAGGGCCCAGACGAGCCAGGAGGCTCATGGACCTCTAGACTCAGCAAACATATATAGGGAAAAAGAGAAAAAAGAGGGTTTGTTTGATAGGGTAGATAATTGCGCTCGCGACCAGATGAGCACCTAGACAGATGCATCGTGATACGAACTTCCCAACTGACGCAAGCAAACGCTGGTCACCTAACGGCATGATAGCCGACATGCTCCCCGTAGGTATACCATCCGCCTGCCGTATAACTTCGAAAGCAGAACACTCCATAAGAACGTGATACTCGTCATCAACCGCATCTAAGCGAGCATGGGGCATACCCGATCTGCCCCCGCGACCTCAATCACCCAGCAGCACAAGTGAAACGAATTAAGCTTCTATGGTGCCTAGAAGGGATGTAAGTCCTCAGCTGGTGTGAGTCCCCCATCCATGGCCCATAACAACGCATTTTAACGCCCGGTTTACGGGTGTCCGAAACGAAACCCCGGTGATCCAGACGGAGTCGATCATTCATCCAGTGCGATCCTTCAGGTCCTCAAGCAGCGCAGATACATCCTAGCTTATGAGACGAAAGGGCAGTCTTCGATGTCTACAGCGCCGGTCACGCTAAACCCGAAGCCGTAGGACCTTCGCGCCCCAGGCCTCATTAGACACACAATGGCAAATGGACTCTCCTGGATCAACCAATATACTCCAAAAGCGGAAGACTAGCCTAGCCCAGAAAACATGAAGGGGTTGCTAGTCAAGTTCGCTGAAAAGTAGTGCGTTCGGAGTGGTTATCACACAAGCCAGAAGAATCCCCAAATTTACTGGGAGGGAAAAATCCCCTGTGGAACGGACATGCTCGGAAAGCGTCCGCAGATGGGTCAGATCCAATCACGTTAGTCTCTTTCCCTTCCACCGCACGAGTTGCACGTTGAAGGCATTCGGCCGGGCTCTTGCCAGGGCCGCATGACTAATTGTTTCTTGAGTCGCTTTATGAGATTAACCACCTCACAAGTCCTCACAAGTAAACGGTGCAGAGGTGCTAATCGCAGCTCCGGCACGGCGTCTTGTAACTATTAGACTGCACCTAGTCATCGCCATCCCTCGAAACCTCCGTGATGAACTGGCAGAGCATCAGCCTCGCCCGGTCCAAATCCAGCGAATCCGGCACATCGATCTCACCATTGAACAGGTGGCCAAAATGGTTGCGCGCCACGCGTCAATATCTCAATGGGGCAGGGGGAGCCAGTCCAACCTGCAACACGCGAGAGCGCGTCGAGGGGGTACGTGGCATCAGTCAATCGCTGGTCAAGGAGGAGCGCAAAGGAGCGGACTATCCATATTGTTTCTCACCACGGCCACCGATGCAGCCGGCATGCGGTACTGCGGCTGGTGCTCCGGCTGTCACGGGACACGGAGCCCATAGAATGCGGCGTAGCAAGTCCCCAAAAATCCCGTAGTACGACACAATATCGGTTTTTCATTTGCTGTATACTTTTCCGTCGCTGTGCCTCAAGAGTTTAGAAAAATTGAAAGACTGTTTCGCTACCGTAACTGCTGTAAGGACACATGCTGCGACGATTACGCCCTTTCTCGTCTGATGGTTGCCGGGCGAATTGCCGCCGATGGCGCAGCAATCAGCTGCAACGGGCGCCTTTAGCGACGACAAGAGCTGCTGCTGCGCCAGCAGCGCAAGATGTCCCTTTGACGCTGACAATGTCTGATGCTCTAGCGCTGGCCGAGCGGTTACGCCAGCTGAAGGACAGCCTTACAGGTTTAAAGGCAGACAACGTCGGGGTACAGCGCATGCCAGGCGATGTGGGAGAACGTGTAGGATTGGTAGCAGCCCGCGACATCCGCGACCGCGAGGTGCGACGGTCTAGCGTTGGAGCCGCAGATCCCATCTGTTTTAAAACATCTAAAATTTGTAGCTCCAATTTCTCTTGATTGTGTTATACCCTCCCTGAACCTCTTACCATCTGCCTTCGTCCGACTATCCTTCCTAATTCATAGTCCTGCTTCCAGCATGCGACCCAGGGGGTGAAGGGATATTATCTTTGGTGGCGACCATGGCGACCTGCCCGCAATGCCAGGCCGGCCCAGCTGCTTTCCCTCTTACTGCTCTTAAACAACCGCACCGAACCGAACCCAATCGCCCGCTCTTCCCGTGCTCCCTCAGTTTTCACGTTATAAGTTTTTTGGCGTCCTTAATGTAAACCTCAGCAACCGGACAGTTTCATATGCCGCTGCCGTCTCTGCCACCTCACGCCACACCAATATGCATACACCCGTATATACACACACACACACACACACACACACACACACACACACACACACACACACACACACAAAAGTCGCGTCGCACAATTTCCCTTGCCAATCAACTACATGATGACGCCACTCCGCAACCCGCATCCCTCCCTGGGCATCTAGCACAGGTGGTGATGACCATCCCTGAGAAGCTGGCCATCACCTCAGTAGACGCCGAGAGCCACCAAGTGGTCGGGCCCTTGGCGGCGGAGTGCAGCGAGCTGACCGCCCTCACGCTGTGGCTGGTGGCAGAGAGGGCCCGGGGGCCGGACTCACCCCACGCGGCGTTGCTGAGCACACTGCCGGTAGGGCCGCTCGGCTGAGTGGGAGGTCGGCTGGGTGAAGTGGAAGAGATGGGCTGTCACCTAGCCGGGCACCGTGACTTAGCTGGGGAGCGACATGATGGGCACGTAGGGCATAGGGCTTTGTGACGGAGGTAAGGGAGGTAAGGGAGGGAGGTAAGGGAGGGAGGTAAGGGAGGGAGGTAAAGGGGAAGTGCGATAAGTCAGGAAGGGGGGGGGCTGTCGAGGGAGGGATTGTTCCCCTCGCAGACTATGAGGGGGGATTCTTCACAGCTTGCGCGTACCGGGGGGAGTAACCCACACGTGAATACCACAAGCATGGTGTTCCCTCCCCTGCCCACCTCTCCCTCCGCGACCCCCTCTTCCCTTTCCCTCCCCCACCCCCCACCCCGCCCCAGGAGGCCACCCTCAGTCCCCTGCTGTGGGAGGACGACGAGCTGGCTGAGCTGCTGACGGGCTCCCCGGTGCTGGGGGTGGTCCGGGACCGGAGGGAGGCGCTGCGGCAGCAGTGGGCCGCCCTGGAGCCCAAACTGAGGGCGGATCCGGGGAGCTACCCCCCGGGTAGGGCTCTGTGTGTGTGTTTGTGCTTGCGTGTTGTGTGTTTATTACTTATTGATCCGGGCCTGACGCTGGCCGGGGGCACCTAACCGTAACCCACACCCTTTATGTGTGTGTGTGTGTGTGTGTTTTGTCGTAGTGATCTCGGGGGGGGGCATGTTTGGGGGGAGGGGGGTACGGAAAGGAGGGGTCCTGGGGCCCAGTTGGAGTCCTGCCATACACGCAACCTCGACAAAGTAGTGTCAGCAAAGCCGTAAGACCCGAGCGGAGAGACCGCCCCACGCACAGCAACCTGCAACAGGCCCACCCCTAACTGGATGCCGTCAATTACCGCCCGAGCCTTAGAATGCGCACAACCCATCTGCTCATGTTTTCCCTCCCCACCCCACCCATCCCACCCCATCTCCACGCTCGCCTGACCCCCATTCCGCGGCCTCAAGACGTGTATTCGGAGCGAGCCTTCTACCGGGCCTTCAGTGTAGTGGTGGCGCACGCCTGCTTCCTGCCCTCAGCCAACTGCTTTGCGCTGCTGCCGCTGGCCTCCTCCATGGGCCGCACCGGCAACAACAACGGTTGCGATCTGGACTTTGACGCGGACAGCAACGCGGTGGTGGTCACGGCCGGTCGACCGTACCGGTGAGGGGTGCCTCCCTGCGCCGCGTAGCTGTGGGGGCTGTGGGGGCTGTGGGGGGGGCCAATCGGTGGTTACCAGTGGTTACCGACAGCAGTACTACCGAAATGCGGTGCTATCTCTGCGGCACAGTGCCCCCACCCCGTCATCACACACCCCACACACTACAACCTCATCATCGTGATCATCATTCTGGCCGCACCTCGCAGCTCCCTGCCCCATAACTATTTCCACCCGCACCTCGGATCCGCTGGGCCCCTTTGTTTGAGACCTTATTCGCCCCCAAAGTGTAACGTACACTTCTGAGAAGCGCCCGCGCCCGTTGGGGCCCGTTGGGGCCCGTTTGGTCGCCGGTACCCGAGTCGCCGGGTGGGTTTCCCCTCCTCGCCTTTTACCGCTCTTCGTCCCGCCTTTTCAACCTTCCTTGCTCACACTTCCTTGCTCACACAAAGAACTTAGCATCCCGAAGTTACCCTAGGTATTACCTGGGTAATCAAGACCACATAAAGGAAGGACTACACGCACACACACACACACGCTGCTCCGGCATGTGCTCCTGTGCATCCATCTCTCCAGGTCCGGCTCGGAGCTGCTGCTCAACGACGGTCGGCCGAACGGTGAGCTCCTCCTGGCCACGGGCGGCCTTCAGGACGGCAACATGTCGGACTACCTGGACTGGCCGGCGACGCTGGTGCCCGCGGACAAGTACTTCATGCTGAAGAGCCAGGTGCTGGAGAGTATGGGTTTTGGGCCGCGCGAAAGCTTCCCCGTGTACGCTGACCGCATGCCCATCCAGCTGCTGGCCTACCTGCGTCTGTCCCGGCTGGCGGACCCGGCGCTGCTGGCCAAGGTGGGTGCGGTGGGGGGAGAAATGGGTGGAGGGGGGGAGGGTAAGACGAACCAGTGATCATGGAAGCAGGTACCAGAGATAAAGGGAGGAGGGGAGGGAGGTGCGCGCGCGTGTGTGTAGATAGAACGGAGGGATGGGGAAAGGAGAGGGGGAAGGAGGGAGGGTGAAAAGAAGGCACCATGTGCTGCTGCTATCACCACGTATCGGGCGGGGCAGTGGAAGCTGACCCAGTGGAGTGAGGGCAGGGGCCGGTACACGCGACGACTGGCTATCATCCCTCCAGGTGGGGTGTGTGCCCTCTGCAACCGCCGGGCACCTTGCTGCTGCACATCAGTAGCGTGTACTAGTGCTCTACCCTTGCTGTTTGCTCATGCTTTCACTCCCTCGTTCTCCCTCTCCTTTCCGCCCACATTTCTTTCTATTCCTCCTCCTAGATCTCGTTCGAGAAGGATGTGGAGCTCAGCCAAATGTAGGTTTATTGCCCTCTGCGACCGCCAAGGGCCGGAAGGGGGCCCAGGGGGGAGAAGTACACTCCAAGATACAATTGTCAGGTCAAGGGCGTGAGGGGCCATGTTGTTGTTGTGTACCGTTACCCGTTCACGGGGACCTGAACCGGGTGAGCTTAGTACAGCGTTGAGCTGTTTACGGAATTGAGCTTGATCCTTCTGACGACGGAACCAAGCGGGACCCGTGTCTTAACACGGAATTGCTCTGCTTGTCCTCCTGTTGCGATTTTCCTGCCACCTGTCACGGGGAGCTGATCGACCTGATCCTGGTCTGAGGGTGATTTCCATCATTAAGAGTTCTGGAATCGATCCCTTACCCGTGCGCTCCGTACAGTAACTGTCCTGTCCTGTACTGCTGTGTTTGTGGTTCGTCGTCACGGACTCCCCGTCAACCCCTCACCGTGCGGTGCCGAAGGTAGTGCCATGATCTCTCATACAAGACGAGCACACAACACAAACGACACCACCAACTGCAACTCGACTTTCCTTCCTCCCTGTCACACATACATACATATATACATACGCGTACAAAAATACATGCATACATACGCACATCTTACAGGAACGAGTACGAGATCCTACAGATTCTGATGGGCGACTGCCGAGAGCGGTTAGCCGCATACAGCAAGTCGTACGAGGAGGACGTCAAGATTGCACAGGACCCCAGCCTGGCCCCCAAGGAGCGCCTCGCAGTGCGATTGAGGCTGAGCGAGAAGCGCATCATCAACGCCACGATGGAGGCGGTGCGGCGGCGCCTGGCGCCCATTCGCGGCATCCCCACCAAGTCCGGCACCATGCAGGACCCCAACAGCGACCTCAAGGAGATATTTGATACCATTGAGAGCCTGCCCACCGCGCCGCTGAGGATGCTGGAGGGCTTTGTGAGTTGGGCTCGAGGGGAGCAGGACCCCGACTGGGGCAAGAAAAAGCCCGGACAGGGTCAAGGACGGAGGTAGTGGAGGAGCGGGGGCAGCGCGGCTGGGTAGCCGAGGGGTTACCGGGGAGGGGGGGGGCATTGGACGAGGAGGGGCCCGGGGGCCCGGGCAGGGGGTGTGCATGGTGAGGGATGTGGCCATGTACTCAGCTGCGGGTGGGTGGGTCGGGTGGATGAGGTCCAGGGATGGAGTGCCAGTGTAGCATCCTTTTCTTTTGGACTGCATGCCGCGAGTAGTGAGGGTGAGATGTATGGAGTGCGGTGTGTTAACCCAGGCATGTTTTGAACTTATCCATTTTTTGAGTACTGGGACGGTGAGTACTGGGACGGTGTGAGGGAGGAGGTCGGTCGCTGAGCGGGCTGTAAGGAGGCGCGCGCAGCTCACAGCAAGTTATATTATGTCTGTAAGGCGCGCGCAAGAGAGAGGCGGCTTAATGAGGCCTTGTTACTACCACCCCATGTGATGAGGCCAAGTGCCACAGCTCCGCACGGAAAACCCAGCGGACAGCTTGTGGGGGTATCCTCTTTGTCAGGAGCAAGATAGGTGCACATGCGGCTTTGGGGGGGGGAGGGATAGCACCTGTGACCATTTTGTTGGTTGAGGTGGTGGAGTGGGGCGGGACTGCGCGATTTGGAGGGTATGTATTAAGTGGGTGAGCGCACCTGCTTCGCAACAACTGCGAAGCAGTCATGATTCTACACCTGGACAGTGGAGGGCTGCGATGGGCGATGTGGTGACCGTGTGTCTATTCAGCACATGTTCTGGGGCCGCTTGCTACGCCGCGTCATCGTAGCGGCAATGGATGTCGGGGCAGAGAGTTATAGCTTGGAAGGTCATTTCCGCCTGCGGAGCAACGACGCCCTCCTCGGCGGTTTGCAAGGTGGTCCTGTCTACACCTGCCCCGCTCGCCCACGGCAAAGGGGACAAGACGAAGGGGGCCTAGAGGGGGCTTAGAGGCTCGGCTTGTTGGCCCTTGCAGCCGCCCAGCCCAGCATTTCTAACAGACCCTTGCAATTCATACGCATGGCTGGGCACGTTCGCTTGCCCCTTACCATTACCACATTTCCACAGGGAGCGGGACGGGGGTGCACGGGACGGGTCAACCAGCCGCTGTGCACTCACTCTACCCGCAGCCTCGATATCCTTAACTGGATTACAGCCTCAACATCAGGGGAGAGCAAGCAGGGGTATATGCTCGAAGTCATGAAATTTCGAAATGAATCCGCCGCCCTATGTCCACCGAGACTACAGGGACGGTAATTTCCGGTCATCACTTCCCAGTACTGCCCTGTACTGAAGCAGATCATGTTCAAACGGTTTGGTCGCCAGTCCCTATCCGTCTGTGCGGGGCCGGAATCCGGGTAAGGACATTTACCTCGGCTGCACGACATACTCAACACTGCAAGTACCAGACAAATCTGTCGTACTGATGACCTGGCAGCTGCGGCCACCATCTGTGCCGGCCAGCGGCATTGCATCTCGGCATATGGCGGCGACGGGCCTCGGGAAGTCGCCGCGCTAGGACGCCCTGTGTAGTATCAAGGTTACGGCAATGCCGCTTCCGGTACGCATTTAGCTGCAGTTCAGAGTATTTGCTGCTGATGAGGGGCCACTTGTAACGGAGCCTGAAGCGGCGATCTGGGGAATTTAACTTCGTGTGGCTCAGTAGGGCAAGTTGCTGCTCCCACGTTAAGTTAATATAGGCGGAATTTGAGCCCGGACAGTCCCCGAGTGTTTTGACATGCTACGCATCCCAGATAGGCTGCGTGTGGACGCAAGGCACCAGGCATGTGCCAATGATAGGGACGAAGTTTGGGCAGCTTTCTCGCTGGAAAAGGAGTCCTAAGCTTTGTGCAACGTAATTACATTCTTTATGTTGATTATGATGCTGTATAAGTTGTTGCTGGACGCCCATATGGTAGCAAAGATAGGCGTCCGTACAAAGTGGGGCGGTTTGGCTCTGGGCTCCACAGTCCTGACAGTTTCCAAAGGGGAATTGTTTACAAATCGCACGAAGCTAGCCCTAATATCAAAAACCCTGACAGACCCCAGTGTCCACGAAGGCTGTGTTACTGTTGTTTTGCACTGGACTTATAACTTACCATGCAGCGCTGCTCCTTTTGCATTATACTCAACACAACTTCACAGATCCTTTCTGCGCTTTGAGCTGGATGAGGAAGTAGTTAGGCGGATTGATGCTGCGAGCTCTGCTCAGCTTGTTCGGCTGCGCGAAGCCACCAGCCAACTTTAAGAAACGGAATTATAAGCCCGAAGCCGATGATGCGGAGGCAGAGCAGCGAAACGTCTTTGAGCTGGCTTACAGCGTGCTTAAGGCGAAGACGGAGGCCCTGTTAGCGAATGACCAAGCCTTGCTCAATCAAGAGTACAACAGCTTGCAGGACTGCGACGTGCTCGAGACAGTAGAGGCCGCAGAGCACACCAACAACGCCGGCAAGAACCGCTACGTCAACGTGCTTCCATTCGACTATAACCGGGTTAAAATATCCGGCGAGGACGGCCAGGACTACATAAATGCCAGCTTGGTACAGGTGTGGCGCCCCTGCTCCGCCTTCGTGTGGTTTGGCGGCACACAATCACGCAGAGCGCCTTACGCAGAGCGGGCCGAATGAGTCGCCCAGCTGGTGCTACATTGCGGCTCAGGGACCGCTGGCTTCAACAGTTGACGACTTCTGGCGGATGGTCTTTGAGAACAACTGCTCCATACTGATCATGCTGACCCGCACCGTGGAAAACAATCATATTAAGTGCGCAGACTACTTCAACCAGCGGCCAGGTCGGCGTATGGATGCTTGTCTGGATTGGGATACAGGGAGAGTACCGTTCTGCTGACGGTTGTGAACTGTCATGCCCTTCGCGTAGGGGAAACTGCAAAGTTCGGCTCGTACCGTGTAACAACAACAGATGTGCAGGAGGTCAGTCCGGACATCACTAAGCGCACGCTTCAGTTGTCGTTGTGCACGGTGAGGGCGCCACCTGGCTCACAAACTCTTCTGTGACAAGTTGCCGTTCGGTACTGGGGGGACGACTTGGCATTGTCCGATTAGACGCAGGAGGTGCATGAAGTAACGCATTACCACTACCACCGGTGGCCTGATTTCGGAGTCCCTGAGTCGACGGAGCCCATTCGTCGGCTGGTCAAAATTTTATGGCAGAACCGGACTAGTTGCACTCAGCAAACAACCGTAGTGCACTGCAGGTGAGCTGTCCGGCTGGGGATTATTCCTGCCCTGTTGTCTTACCCTCGATGTTCAGTCGTACGGTTACTTTGCTCCTGCGCTCACCCATGCCACGACACTGTTCGCAGCGCCGGGATCGGGCGGACGGGGACGCTGATGGCCATTGATGTCATCCTTCGACGTTTGTGGGCTATGGCAGAGCAGGGGCTGCCCTCAGGGCCTGCCGATGTGTCCACTGCTGTTGACTTGCCAGCAGGTATCTACGTTGGTGACCCGCTTGGCGTCTGTTTTTTTCCAAGGTTATAACTTGCTTACACGTTTTGCTTACTGCCTTGCAGTTGTGCATTCATTGCGGAGACAGCGAAAAGGCATGGTGCAGACCATGGAGCAGTATTATTTCTGCTACGAAGCGGTTTTGCACGAGATGCAGGAGGCGACCGGGCGGAGCTCACGAGAGAGCGTGCATGCTAACGCCGGGAACGGCTTCGTTGACGCGCATTGATATGACGACCACTTAGACGCGCATTGAGCGTGCTTGGTTGCGTGTGGACCCTGCTTGGTCCCATGACGCTCATGCGTGTTTAAAAATAAGCGTGATCGGTTCTTCGCCCACAGCTACAGACGCATATCGGACGTGACTACGTGAGGCTGTGTAAGTAGTGAAGGGGGTGCGTGCGATGGATGGGACTAATGCACTATTAATGAATCCAACATGGTCGAACATCGATAGCGTGGCTTGGAAAACGCTGATCGGGGAAGCATAGGGAATTTATGTTTTTTTATCAAGCATGTTTGCTGCTGGGTGGTAGCTTCCTTTATTCGTCGCTGCTGTGTGTTGTGTGTTTTGGCGACATTTATAGACCTCCCGGACACGCGTGGCCTATGAACCATGCTCAGGTTACAGCTTTGAACGATCCGCCAGGTGTTGACCTGAACTGAACGTATGGCGAAGAGTCTTGTTACGCCTGCCAACACAAGCTAGGTGGGTGTGCGGTATGCATGAGGGCCTGGTAGGCACACGCCTGTACACAGTTGTCATTGTTCCTTTTGTGAGCCGGTTGAATAGGGCCAAAGTCCGACGGTGATGTGACGGTGAAAGTGCCTAGCATCTCCACCTACCAAATACAAGCCACTTGCAACGATGTGTCTTTGCAACGATGTGTCTATGGATTGCAGCGCAAAGGAGCGCTTCAATTGTTTCCAATTGTCCGTTGTGCACGTATGCCGCTGCTGTATTGCTGAGGCCAGGCGCTTTAGAAGAGGTTGGCCTTCTTTTTGGCCTGTGCTTGCCGCCAGGCCGGCTGCTTCTTGAAAGCATTGCGGTCCATGCCGAACACTTGCTGAAACTCTTCATCGTTAAGGTAATCCTCCTTGCGCGTTGCGTCGATACCTGCCGGGAGGGTGAGGAAGAAGAGGTGTCATTTTATTGCAGGCAGTTTTTGTGCTGTTTGTGGCTGTTGTCGAGAAATCGGATGCACAGGGTGCGAAGTGTTGCGTACCCTGGTATGCGGCTCTGTAGTGACGGTTCTTTGCAGGGAACCCAACCGCACCCCAACCCCCCCAAAAATGTAGCATCGCGTGCGCATACACGCAGCCTCAGGGATTCTCCTCTTGGCAATCATTCTTGACAGCCGGATGTCACGGTGCCGTGGGATAAACTTCTATTCCTTCATTTCACATCCGTGCCTATGATCTCCGTTTATCCCCACTAGGGAGATGTGTAATAACACGTGCTGGTGGCCTTCGCAGCATACGCCGGCGTAATCGTTCAACTCTTGCTTTAATATGTGCGCCGAATGCATGAACTCCACGCACATGCATGGTCATAGACCGTTCACATGGTTTCAATGATAACCATCTGCATGACTACGTGCACGCCAGGCCATGCAGCAAAACACCGTGCACTCGGTTCCATTACTTGTGAACCCACCGTCTTCAAGACGCAGCTTTTGCAGCTCCTCGTAAGAAACAAAATCCTTGAGCGGTTGTAACTTAAAGGCGCCCTGCTTCAGCAACTGCAAGCCAGCAAGCAGGGAAGAGAGGCAGCAGGCACAAGGCGTTCGTGCGTGACACAGCATGAAAAAACTCTACAAGCTCCTTCGGCGCACTTCAAAGTGGATATCTTCACCTCTTCAGCTAATTCCAGGCCGGAACATGTCTCAGGCATGAAGCATGTTGCATGGAGCATGCGTTGCGGTGTCGTAGAAACAATGAATGTTCAGCATTCAAAGCCCATAACAGCTGACTACGTGCAATGCCGCAATTCCCCAATATAACGGACGCCATTTCGCAGTCCATCCGCGATAGGAACTCACTATGCCGCCTGTATACCAAAGCGTTACAGGGGAAAAAGCGGACATCTCTTGGTGAGAAGTACGGCAGTTTCCAGATTCACCGGCGCCACCACGGACTGGCTTCTATATACCCAGATGTCCTGCAGGATGGATTCATCATAGATATGGCATGGCGCGGCATCACGGAAAAATGTTCGTTGTTCACATGCGCTTCCTGCCCACCTGCGATACGTTGATGGTATTCTTCGTGTCGTGCGTGGAAGCAGGGGACGACTCTCCGCTCTTGGAACCCGTCGGAGACTTCGTGCTTCGTCCACCGAGTGCGGCGCCGGCCGAAGCACCCAAAGCTCCAGCGGAACCGAGCTGCTTCTCCGAAGTGGACTTAGGCGGAGGGGTCGCAAGCGAATTGCTGCTAAGGCGGCGCGAAAGAGCCTGCGTTGGATGGAGCAAATAGAGCGTAACAATCTAACGGAGGAAACATAAGACCCATGCAATGTGAAGTGAATCTTTGCACCGTCGTGCTGCCACGGCCTGCAAGTTTCCGTCACTCCAGACCTTGACGAGCAGAGAGCAGGACCCGGGCGTCGCGCTGCTGCCAGGAAATACCCCTCCCTTGTATGCCTGGTAATTTCAAAAGCAGCAAACGCCCGAAGCCTCTAACATCATATGGTGCCAAACAACACGCAGCAGGAAACTGCAATAGGACGTCGGAATGAGCCACCAGGGATTCATAAGGTGAGCATGTACGGAGCTTAAAGCCCTGATGTTACGCAGTCCCTCACTGATGCGGTCAGCACATGGACGGAACTAACAGAAGCAAGGGGCGTAATCACCTTCACGGTACATGCATGAGGTAATGGCCTCAACGCACAGTAACCCTACCTGCACGGTGCCGGGCGGCGTCATGAATGGTGTAGGCTTTGGAGAGGAGATGGACGGGCCAGCGTTAGCGGACGAGGTACTGGCTTCAGCCGGCACGACCTTAGGCAGCTCCGCTGTGGGTTGCGTGCCTCCTTTGCTTGCTGTCTTTGGCTCGCTGGGTTGGTCAGTGTACGCCTTGCTGGGCGTCTCCTCCTGCATCGGGCTGTCCCTCTTGCTGTCCTCTCCAGACGCAAGGGCAGTGCCTTGCTGCGGCTGCTTGCACTGCTCCACCTCCTTATGCTCCGTGTCAGCTCTATGCTCTTTGCGGTCCTTTGTTCCGCTCCCCGGCTGCACCCTATCCTCCTCTGGCATGGCCATTTCCGTAGCTGTGCCATTCCGCTGGTTTGGGCCGGTTTCGGCCTTATCCTCTGATGCGTTGCCCGCTGGTGCCTCATCAGCTGTGCTCAGCGCACCAGCAGACTCCATCTTGACATCGCTTGTCCCAGCATCCCCTGCAGCGGTCTCAGGAGCTGCAGGGGACGCGGAGGATTCCGAGTGTTTCTCCGCCTCCGTGCTCGGCTCCACGACGCTCGTGTCCTCTGAAACGGGTGCCCCCGGTGATATTGGACCAGACAGAGATGGTGCCGCTTCTGCAGCGGCTACTTCCGATGCGCCATTGGCCTGCTCCAAAGCAGCGCCGTCGAATTCTACTGCAGACTTCCTATCCCCGTTAGCTGCCTTCTCGGCAGCTTCGCCTTCCTTTGCAGCTCCATGGTTGCCGGTTGCACCGATTGCGGCTCCGTTGTTGCCTGGGGTAGTCAACTCGTCTGGATCCACGCTGACGGCGTTTACGGTATCTGGGTCATTTACCGTTTCCACAGGGCTGGTTTTCCCAGACCCATTCCCAAGACCTGGAGCGCCCACGTCTTTAGCTGCAACGCCATCATCGCCGACGGCGGCCTTTGCCTCTTGCTGAGTCATTCCTTACACAACCTGCGGTCTGCAGAAGGGGGGGAAGTTGACAACGCTTGATTCCGAAAGCCAGGAACTGCGACTTTGATTTTGTATGTAACCCGCAAATCCTGAGGCAACTGCAATCCTCGTAGATGTGCCCCTGCATCTGCCACCGTTGATCATCATGGGGAAAAAATCGGCTGCGGACGTCGCAAGGGCAAGGTGTACGCATCTAACAGCCCGACATCACGCACCTGCAAGTCCAAAAGCGATACTCAAAAAGCGGCTTGGAAGCAACCGTGCTGTGCAGAGTAAAGGTTAGTGTTGACTTCTGCTCTATGCAAACAGATTATATGCTAGCGTGTTATAACTTTATCATAATAATGAATAGCGGCAATCGGTACATGTTTGCCTTCGTTGCGGCCTCCGCGAAATAGATGTACGGATGTTTGGTCTTGCGAAGCATACCTCGAATTCGATCACTGCATTAACCTGAGAGAGAAAATGGACATATCTCATAGTGTCTCCTGTACTCTATGAAGGTGCAACCATCGGCTACAGGTGATGCTAGCTTCATTTGCGGTGGAAACTGGTGAGACCTTGATTTTGTCTTGCATGCGACCCAACGAGGTTGCCTGTGCATCATCACAAATTCACCTGTTTTCAAGGGTAATAACCATCGGGTTACACCGGTACTGACGATGGTTACCGTTGCAGAGCCAGGGTATGTCCCTTGCAGTCAGAGTGGGTGCCTGGGCCAGCGGAGGCTTTGGCATTGACAGCGTGAATCATTAATCATCTTCACGTTATAGTGCACAAAATGTTTCGCTTATGTGCTTGATCATCGGCTTCTGGTTTCGTCGTACACCCGCAATGCGGTATCTATCCTCTGTGGGTACGTTCCCCCAAGCCTATTATTCATTCCGCACCTGCGGATATGTCACAAACACACATCCTCGTCAAATCCAATTGGAACCTTAGGCCCTTACTGCCTTGGGGTTCAACTGTGATATGCTGTCAAGTGAACCAGCTTTGCCGTACAAAGACCAGGGATCAAAGACCAAGCTCATGTGATTGTGTCCTTGCGCTTCATGCATCCTAATACACAACATTATGATCTGCCCGGTGTTTCCAGCAAATTTGGAGGATTCATGCATGCACGCAAGGACAATAGCCTACGCAGGCTTCGTGCGGGGAAATGACTACCAACCTATTGCTACTGCTGCTGCTGCCCCTGAAATGGCATGTTGCCTCGTCATGAATACGTAATTATATGTCCTTTCATTCTCCTTTCAAATGTTCACTTACGCAGTGGATTCGATAGGGAGAAAGTAGTATTTGCACAAGTTTCCGCTTGAATTGGCCACTCGAACGATCACCCGCATATGCAAAGCCAACGGAAATGAAGTTAAAAGGAACGCTTACAGAGCATGGTGGTCGGCTGCTGTGGAAAAGTAAGGTGTTGTCTTTTGCGATACCTTCGGCGCGACTAAAAGCTATCCTCGTTTCATGCCGCGAATATGCAGATTTCCTGCCGACAATAGAAAAATTTGGAAAGACGTGTCAAGTCCTTCTTGGGACTGACGAGGTCCATTTTGTACAGACGAGCCTAAACACAGATGGCGTGCATGTCACCGCACGGTTTGCCGCCGTGAGTATGGCCACCCTGTTTGCAACCTACCCTTAACCTCCATAGTACATACATGGGTATGTGCATGCGCTGGAGGTCCGCGTACCCACCAGAAATCTGCCCCAAATTCATCTCCTCTAACCCGCCAGGAAACTCTTTTCGACGTCGACACGTACCGCTGCCAGAGCAAGCACTTTAATTTGATTGCGTTCCAAGTTGAGGTGGGGCTGCTGCTCCGCGTCCTCAAGGGCGCGGCAGCCACCAACTCTGACAAGGTGGATGTAAAGCTCACCACGCGTCAGGTGTCAAGTCCTGCCACCGACACACAGAGCAAGCCTTTTCTCTGCTTTACGGCAACGGCAAGTACCGTGCGGTGCAATGGCGGTACTAGATAGTTGTGGTATTGATAAATACCGTTTGGTATCGGAAAGTTATGAATATTCTTCGGCGTACCGTTGGTACGGATGACCGTTGGCCCGGTGAACCAAGGGCTGCCTAAGCGGCGTTACAGTACGGCTGTCCCCACCATCTCAATGCTTGCACGTCGTGCGAGTTTGCTTTTCACGTCATGATATCGCCGTGTGGTCGTGTGTAACTGGCGCAAGGATGCAATTCTATGCCACGCCCTTACAAGCGGAACACTCTGGCAGGTCATCATAACTTGCCGTACAGCCTTGTACTGCAGTTCTACTACACACTGTGGGTGCGGAATCATAGCGTCTAAGGGACTGCATAGAACGCGCCGGAGACCTTACAGGGCGGCCTCCGGAGGTCACCGCGGAGTGGAGAGATGCGGCTATAGCGGGATAGTCCCGAGTGGTAGCGCCGGCCGTCTGGCTGATGTGGGTTGGCTACGGACTGCCGGACAGGTCTCTCTTCTCATGGTCTCTCATGTGCGCGTGCACACACACACACACACACACACACACACACACAAATACACCGCCCTCTATCCGTGCACGCGTGTTTACCCCGCTCCTGCCGGGAGTCCCATTCGCCCCACGATGAGTCCCCCGTGAACGACCCCCGAGTGCCACTGGTCTGGGCTCGCTCGCCCTAGGTTGCGGGTTCGGGTTCGTACTGGGGACTCAACCCCCCCCCCAATGACCCCGCCTTCTCCCTGGCTGCTACACCCCACCTAGGAATACGTATAGGGCCCTCCGAGCGCCCACTGTCGTGCTGTCGCGCATGTGCCACTTGCATATGGACCTCAGACCAGGGAGCCGTGCGATGGCGTGTTAGCGATGTGGGGTTTTCACTTGTAACATCTCGTAACGCGCAGGGGTGAGCTCCTAGGACCTCCGCTACCTTGGTGATCGTCTTGCTTCGGGCTGCCCGCGGCGGGGACGACGGCCTTTTAACGAATGCAACAAACGTCACCCCTTCCCAGCACCTCCGACCCCCACGGACGCCACCCTCGTGCAGGGCGCCAGCACGACCGTCGTACAGGACGTGCCCATCAGCAAGCCGTACACGGCTTCGGAGGTTCAGTCCTTGGTTGCCGCCAAGGATGTGGGCGCCTTCTGCCCTGCCTACGTGGATTTGGTTCCGGCGCTAGGGGCGGCTCAAGCCATCGTGGACCGGCTCAAGTCGGTGGACGACACGGCCATGCTCGCCATCAGCAGGGTGCGGCAGGATCCTGCGCCGGGGGGGGGGAGCCCTCGCCTCCAAGGCAAATCAGAGCCGTAGGCCCTAGTACTAGTCGTAGCATTCAGTCGATGACTAGTATATTATCGCCATGTTATGCGATTGTTTGCCGTCCTTCAACCGGTGCGCAATCCGACCGGATGGGGGACTCCCGGATTCAGCGGCGGGAGGTCCCCGCCGCCTCTTACAAAGGCATATAGAGAGGAGGCAGAGCAGCCATTACTGAACATTACTGTACAACACGGTTGCGATCGTGATCACAAACGCATTCCTCCCCGGTTGCGGCTGGGGCAGCAGCTGCACCGCTCACATGCGCCTCCGCCAACCTGGAGGGATGGGCGTGTGTGCTGCTTCACCGGACCGCCCCTTCCACCCACTCCCCCCGACATGCTACCTGACTAGCTGCGGCCAGCTTGGTGCGTGGGGGGGGGGTTATTAGAGCCGATGAAAGGCATGGGGGTACGTCCCACCCACCCTTACCTCCGCTCTCCGACCCCCCAATGGCCCCATCCAACACGGCGTCTGCAGGGCGGTGATGCGCACGTGCTGGTGCAGACGGCGAGTGTGGCTCTGGGGGCCCAGCTGCGGGACCTGCCGGTGTATCCGCACACAGCATATGAGCCGGAGGCGACGGACAGGTGTGTGCGTATGTATGTATGTATGTATGTATGTATGTATGTATGTATGTATGTATGTATGTATGTATGTATGTATGTATGTATGTATGTATGTATGTATGTATGTATGTATGTATGTATGTATGTATGTATGTATGTATGTATGTATGTATGCATGTGCGTGTATGTGTATTATGTGTTGATGTAGATGTGTCAGTGTGCCACCGGGCAAATCGTTTCTTCAGGGACTAACCGCTGCGAAGGTTGTGAAGGAGTTAGGGACTAACGGGGCGCACTGCGGCTGGGGCCCGGTGGGTGGCCCGCCGTGTGTGTGTGTGTGGATATGTGGATAGCTAAAAGGTCGTGCTTTGGAGCAGCAGTAGCAGTATCAGCAGCACACAGGGGTCGACTGAGGAAGCCACCTCCACTTCCACACCGGTCTCGGGTCTCTTGTGACCCTTTCGGCCCTTTTCCAGCGTGTCTGTGGCGTGTTTGTTTAATACCAGATAACGGAAGGACCCTCCCATGTGCACCGGGTGTAACGGAGACCTTCAGGTGTTGGCCACCTTCAAAGGTGTTCCACTGACTTCGTGAGAAAAAGGAGTCTCTTACGAGTGCCCCTCTGATGGCGCTCTGACAACCAAAAGGGAGAATGAAATGAAGACATTGTTTCGTCCAAGCCGCCAGCTTAACGATTGCAAAACACCTGCACAACTGCTCCCTCTCTCTCTCCCCCTCGTGAAACCCGGGGGGCACATCCCCCCCCACCATCGGCCGCGCCATGGCCCGTCCATGGCCCCCCCGGCTTTTACGGACACACCCGCACTTGTGTGCGGAGATTGTAACTTGTAACCATCGGCCACCCGTAATGGCGTACTTGCAACGCATCCCTGCGCCAGTCTTCTTGCCATCCGCCTTTCCTCCCTCCCTCCCTGCCCGGCACAGCTCCCCTGCCCCTGCCCCTCTGCCCCGCCTGGATGTCTCCCACTTCTGTGTGTCAGGTCCAAGTCGGTCGGTGATCAGCTGCAGGGAGCTCTGGACGCCGGAAAGGCCGTCAGCGTGGTGAGCAGCGGCTGCCAGCTCGCCGCCATCAGCTGTGCGGCTGTAACCGCGCACCCCGACCCGGGGTCGCGCTTGCCATTGCTCATGTCTATGTTACATCGCTGAACTGTCGTAAACTGCGGCCCTGACAAGGGCAACACGGTCTGGCTTTGGGGCTCCTGCCTCCCCCCCCCGCCCGGGTAGCGGCACAGCGGTCGTGCGCTTTTCCTACGGGCCCCAGTCACGTGGGTCAGGAGCGATAAGCGACACACCAAAAAACACATGTTACCGATCCCTAAGCTACAAAACCTCGGCTTCAGTTTTGACCCAAAAAGCACTGCTTATAACCCCTCATACTAACTATTCCCACACAGGCTTTTGACGGCATATGTATGTACATATAGAACATATAGTATACATGTATATCTTATATGTAATATATCGCACTTTGATATCTTTCTTTTCTCTCAATACACCGCAATAAAGATTCCCGTTTCCCTTGACCCATACACACCCTGCCGTGTGCGCCCCGCTCTCCCCATGGGGGCCCCCCCCTCCCCCTCCCCATCCCCATCCCGCAGCACATCCAGCTGAAGCAGCTCTCCAGAGTGCTACACACCACTCTGCTCACGGAACCGGCCCAAGTGCTGTGCGGTGAGGGCGCTCCCTTAACACCTCTGCCCTCGCCCGCGTGCCGGGAGTGCGCTGATTCGTGTGTGGGTTGGGGAGTGGGGGCCGCTGCGAGGCATACAGACATATCCCCGGCTTTGCCCCCCTCATTGTGTAGGTTGGGGGCATGTGGCGGTGCGGAGGCCGCCGCATACACCACTGCCGCACTATCCGAGCTTAGTCTCCCCCTCGCGTGTCCCGGGGGGCGGGGGAAAGGCTACAGGGCTGTAGGCAAAAGAGGGTCGCGTTGCATAGCGGAGGGGTAGCAGGGGTTTTCTCTGCGGTTGGGCCTCAAGGTGGTGGGGGTAGTGGTGGGGGTATTGCTATGGGTGCCATGAGGCGGGGCTGTGGGGATCTTGAAGTTACGTTTGGGGTGGGCGGGTGGGTGGGTGTGGGGAAACGGTAGTTTGTTTCGTGCGTTGTCATTTCATCATGAAGCATCATCACCGAGTCAGCCAGGTAGCGTCTGGACGTCAGTGCTGATGGTTACTGGCGGCCGGTAGAGCCCGGGCGGGTGCCGGCAGGGAGATGGCTGCTACCACCGGGTTAGCAGCCGCCAGCTTACAGTGCGGTGTTCACCGCCCAAGTTTGCGAAATCGTCATCCGCACCTGAAACACATACACACTCGCACTCTCTCTCTCTCTCTCACACCCTCTCTCTCCGCATTACGCCTCAGGAACGGCAAAGGGACCCCGTATCCTTATCCTTCTCGTGGCCCAGATGGGGCAGTGCGCCCGCCTCACGACTTACTTCCCCCCGGACATATACTGTTCATGCACAGCCCGCAGCAGTCCGCACACCAATCTATGAAAGCCGGGGAAAGCAGTGTACCCGTTACATGTACCCCCGCTATTTCTGCCACCCTCGGCCCCCGCTCTCGCTCCTCCCTCCTCGCTGCCAACATTTTGCCGCCAAGTGTCACACTCTACTTACGGCTAACTTGGTGACACCACACGTATCGTGTCATGCATTCCGCACGTGCCTGTGTGTTGTGTGTTTTGGATCCCACGCTCTCCCGCACCGCTGATGAGGGAAAAGGGAAGAAAACAAAAAAACGAGGCCTCTTACGGCAATAACAAAATTGAAGTATCCAGCCCCCACGGACTGCTCGAACACTCACGTTTCTATCTATTTCCGCTTTCCTGGCACTGCCTCCTGTGGGAGGACCCACAATCCCCCGGCAATCAGGAGGTCCTCCTCGGGCGGGAGCAGTATGCGGGTGCGGGTGCGGGTGGGGGCCCGGCTACCGCAGGACTCACCCACGCGCACCTCCCACGCCCCCCACTCAGCCACGGGAGGGACAACGAGTTACACGTCCCTTTACATTCACATATGGGCACACATACATACGTACATATACGTTTGTGTGTGTACTCATACCCGGATCTCGGCGTGTCTTTCCTGCCTCTCCCACACACACTCTGGCAACCCTCGTACACACCCTCACCCTCATCCCCATCAGTCATTCCTTGCCATCAGCTTCACTCGCTCGTGGTTCGTCTCCCCCCCCCCACCCGCACCGGTGCGGCCTCTCTCTCCCCCCCCCCAGGTATCGCCGAGGGCGGCGGCCACGTGCACGTCATGCATGTCTTCCGGGACCGCCACCGCGATGATGCCTACGACGACAACGTCACTCTCACATTCAAGCTGCCGGTGCGGGACGGCTGAAAGCGCCTCCAGGCGGACGCCGGAGAGGTCAGGAGAGGGGAGGTCGGGGAGGCCAATGACTGCTGCGGTGCTGACCATCGCGGTGGCAGTCTTCTCCCCAGTGGGAGCCACCGCCAGCAGCCCCCGGTTCGAAACCCCTCCTCCCACATTCCTCCGCGCCGCTGTAAGAGCACAGGGTCTTTTTTGACTAGCCAGACACCACCATCACCAGCAGCAGGGGCCTGTCCACGCCTCCGGCAGCACTCAGCAACACAGCCACACAGTCTGTGACGGGGTTTCCCACGCGGCCCCTACGTCTCCCCCCCATCCAGGCCCTTCCACAACCCCCACACCACCATGCCGCATCAGGCTACTTGTGCGTGCATATGTATGTGTCTGTTTATGCGTGTGCGGGCGGGTGGTAAGTGTCCGGCCCCTCACAGCGCCAGGCGGGTGACCTTCTCCTTGCAGTAGTCGGAGCGCTGGCGGGCGATGCGGTTGTCCGGGGCGTACGTGAGCGCCTCCTGGTACGCCACCAGAGCGTCCCTTTTGGAGGGGGGAAGTGAGTGGCGTGGGGCGCGGGGTGTTGGACACGAGGGCTTTGCGGGAGGGCGGATGAGACGGGTACTCGATAACGCAAGATAACAAGACGGCGCTCTGAGGAGGGCGATGGAAGATAAAAGGCCGCTAGGATGTAACTGCACGGCCACACGCAGCTGTGGAGGTCCTGGTCCTGGGTCTTCCGGACCGTTCTCCAATGCGGTAACTCATCTCAAATTACCTCTACCTCGCAACCGTGCACGTGTTTCTATCGCTCCTTATCTCATGATGATACAATGATAATGATGATGGCGATGATGATGACGGGGTTGGTGATGTGATCATTTCATGTCGCCTAGAGGGTGGTATATATTGTTCTCGCAACGGGACGCACCTCCACTTGCCCTTCTTCTCCAGGGCATCCCCTAGGTTATTCCTGAGGGGGGGTGTTGTGCATGAGGGGGGAAGAGAAGTGTGTGTGTGTGTGTGTGGTGTGGGGGAGAGTGTGTAGGGGTTAGAGGTGGCCGGGGGTGAGACACGCACACATTGTCCAGCAGCGGAGTAGAGGGCGCAGCTGCTGTGCCAGTGTGCTATAGACGGGTTTGTGTCAGTGTCCGGGTTGTTGTCCTCCGGGCGCTATCATCCTCCTTCCCTTCGGAAACACAAGACTGTGATAGCTCTGACTGCGGAATGGAAAGGGCCTTATGGATGCGAAGGGTGAGCTGCGGAACTTAGGCAAGTGTGATATCGGTGTGGCGCAGGGAGAGGGGTATATGAGGGGGGTGGCAGTATCAAGAAGAACGACGACTGCCGGCTGACGTCCAAAGCTGCTGCGAGCTGTTGCTGTTGGAGTCCGCAGGGGGCCGCGGGGAGGAGGCGGATCAGTGCGCCAAGCCTCAGCTCCCCCCCCGTCCGCTCAGTTCCCAAGAAGTGTGCAGCGAACCCCGCTGCTCCATTGCCAGACTTATGACGCCATGACGTGTACCTCCTCAGCCTGACGGCCCTGCCTCCCCCTTCCCGTCCGCCCTGCCTCTCTCCGCCTCCCGGTTTCCCTCCGCAGCGCCTCTACTCCCCGCTCACCAGGCGGTCACGTAACCCGGCTGCAACTCCACCGCCCTCCGGTACTCCTGAATAGCCATTTCAGTCTGAAAAGAGGAGCGGAACAGGAGGGAACCAGGGGGGGTGCAACTGGTGGTGGTGATGTGTGTGTATGTGTGTGTGCATGTGCGCAAACACCCACTACACTATATTAGGGGGCTCTCAAGCCAAGTCAGGGGTTATCCTTCCGCATCCAGAGCCCCACGGGGCAGACAAGCAAGTCGGGATCCCAACCACCCCTCCACTCAGCGCGTACAAACATACCGCCTTCTCCAAACTCACTCCAGTTCACGGAAACCCTAAACACACAAACAGGTGCAGCTTACTCCGCCTTCTATTCGTCTAAAATGACCCATCTGGCCGCATCTGCACATCTCCGCTGCATGAGCCTTCACCCCCCACACGCTGCTACGTGCAATGCCCCTCCCACCCACACCCACCACCTCCAACCCCCTCTCCGCCTTTCATCATCTCCACCGTACAGGTTCATTCCCATGACCGACACACCCCAAAACCCAAAAACCCGGGATCTTTTCCACACACTTAGATCCAGATCGAGATCTCCAGTGCCCGCGCCCCCCAGCCCCCTCCCCCCACCTTGTCCATATTGAAGTAGCAGAACCCCAGTGCGTTGTGCACCTGCGCCAGCTCCGACTCCTCTCCGTCCCACACCTTCTTGGCCTTCTCCAGGTTCTTGGTGGCCTGGGTGAACAGCTTCTTGCGGGTCAGGATGACACCCAGCTCGTAATAGTCCTGATGAAGGGGGAGAGGGGAGGGAGGGGCGGAGTTGGGGGGGGTTTGGCGGTCCCGAGCTGCACCGGGTCTAGCAAGCCCTCCCTTGCCCAGCACCATCCCCCCCTCTCGCACCGCTGTCGTTGTCGGCCGGCCCTAATGGCGCAGGACCGGCCCAGACGGGTTCAGGCACCCGGAGTGCCTTTATCCAACAACAACCATCCCGTCTTCAACGGCACAAGGTTCCTCTCGTGGCGATTTGTCAATCTTAATCCCCTCCTCTCTAACCCACGTATACACAACCGGTCGGCCGTCCCCTACCTCGCATGTTGCTTCCCCTGTTCGGATCCGCTCGCCCAGGCCCTTGGCACCCTCATCTAGCTCCCGCCGGATAAGCACTTGGCGGACCACAAGATAGGCACCCACTGCCAGAAAGCCGAGCAGCGTGACGAGGTAGATGAGTTGGATGGGGGTCTCCAGACCCTCTCCCAGCGAGAAGAGTTCTTGCGGCACCTCGGCGACAGTCGATGCGCACTCAGTCAAGAGGACTGGGGACTGGGCCACCGGTACAGCCGCTGCAGTGCAGATCTCCCGGTCATTAGTATTACTATTACAATTATGTAAGGAATGAGTTGGTGAAACGGAATGAGGGACTTGAAAGCCGCATACCTACCTGTATGCACGAGCCGCCCTGGCCGAGCAAGGAGCGAGCACCGGCCTGCGCGCGGACCTGCCTTAAAAGCGTATGGAACAGCTGTGGACAATCGGGGACGCTGGGCAGGCAGGCAAGGGCCTAGCCTGCCGTTTAGCGTCAACGCTCCCTGCATTTCTACAGTGTTCCTACAACAGTCCCTAACAAGCCTCCTAAGCTTGAACGTCCAAAGCAACGGCACAGTATATATTTGGGTTCCGTTGTTATCAACTGGCCCTTAATCATCCCATGCCAGGAGTTGCACGATTGCCAAAACTGACGTGCATTACTGACTGACCCGCAAACCCCAGCAACTAAGCGTTTTGCTGCAGATCTATTTGCAAATGATATGAACTTATTCAAAGATCAAATCTTACCGAACGATCATGCCCGGGGACAGCCTTCGTCACGTTGGGTGCATCAAGATTACTCAAGGTCACTGCGGCAAACCCTCCAAATTACCAATGCAGCTGGTATGTTATCCCTTTTCAAACATCACATTGATTATGCCGCTTGAATTCCATTTGCGGAGTTTCGAGTATCTGTTGGAAACTCGCGGTCTCAGCCTGCCCCACATCTACCACCCCGTAGCATGAACTATCTCTTTTTATCATAACACGTCCCGGCAGGCCGAGAGCAGGCCGGGGCACGGGCTTTCCAACGCTTCCTGAAAAATCGCATCAAGCAGCTGGGAACCCTCCTGCCGCCAAGCCCCGATGCGCCCGAGCCTGATACCGCTCTTCTTTGGAGCTTCCTGTCACGGCAGCTTTCAGAGGGCATCAGCAATGAGGCCCAGGTGCTGAGCAGGGCCCAGGTGCTGAGCAGCGCCACCGGGAGCGACGAAGCGGGAAGGCGCGCTGCTAAAGCCGCCCGCCGTGGCGTCGTTATCGCGCAGCCGCGACCTATACCAGGTGTGTGCCTCTCCAGGCCCCTCCCCCAACCCCGGTCCAGCTGGCGGTGTGGGGTCGGTGGTGTTTGTATGCCGTTGGGCCTCTGCCAGGGTTGGTCGCTCCTGAGGGCTGTTGGCTAAGCTGGGATTGGTAGCTGTTGTGGGGGCCCGGGCCGGGGCTACACCAAATGGTACGGCACCGGACACCAAGCGCCGGGGTGTGTGTCCGGATCGGTGCACACGTGCCGAGAGCAGCGTTGGCGCCGGTGCTTACCATGCATCTGGGCCACGCAGGGCTCAGGTTACCGTTTGTGATGTGGATCGATTGACGAACCGAGGGAAGCTTTACGCAACCCAACCCGCGGCCACATGGGTCCCCGTTAAATACCATCTGTCAGCTACTATTGTATCTCTCATGTGAGCAGCACACCCCTGCTGCCGCGTCGCCCATGGCGCACTCCCGCCGCTGCTTATGCTGACGTCGATGCTTTCCGCTGCCAGCAGATTCACGCCGTACAGTCCCCATCCCGCTGTCGAATTGGCTGCGGGAGGGAGCTGGGGACTCCCCCCAGTACGGCAGCAGCGGCGGTCCTCCTCAGGCGCTAGTACACGTGTTTTGGGACGTGGAGTCGGCCCACCCGGGGAATCGGGACCCGCGCCTGGTGGCCGTGGAGGTGCTGCGACTGGCGCACCGGCTGGGTCGTGTGGTGGGGAGCTACGCGTACGCAAATCGCCAGGCATGGGCCTGGGTGCCAACACATTTCCTCTCCACGTATGCGGAGGGCGATGACAATGCTAAAGGTAGCGCTGGCGTCCGCGTGGAGGGCAGTGGCGCCGCAGCAGCAGGCGCGAATGGCCGAGTCCGCTGCCCAGTGTGCGGAAAGCTGCTGACGGCACCGCGCCTTGAGCGGCACCTGCGCACCCTCCACCCCGATAAGCCGGCGGCCAGCTTGGCGGCAACTGCCATCGCTCAGCAGCTGCAAGTCGACGAGCCGCCGCAGAATGGCGGCAATGCCACCATTGGCGGCGGCGGCAGCAGCAGCAGTGCGGGACGCGGTGGCGGTGCCTCCAGCGCTGGCGCTAGTAAGAAGAACAGCTACCGGACCGGACTGGGTGGGGTACGTGCGTACTACTCCAGCTCTGGGGAGCTGTATCGGCCGCCGGCAGGTCATCAGCTGGGGCTCAAGTACGTGCTGCAGAGGGAGGGGTTCGAACCCAGGGTGGCGCAGAACACTGATGACGCCTCAGACAGGGCGCTCAACGGCGGAATAGACAGGCTGCTGGCGGCGCTGCGCAACGGGACGGCGCGTGCTGCCGCTGCCGCTACGGGCGGCGGCCGCGGCCGCGGCGAGCTGCTGGCGACAGAGCTGCCGTACACGCTGGTGCTGGTGTCGGGGTCCCGCCGCCACGCGGCTGCACTGGGTGCCTGTCGGCGGCTTGGGGTCCGGACGGTGGTTGTGACGGCCGGGCCGGGTGTGGTCGCGGAGCCAGGGCAGGTGGACGCGCTGTTGAGCTGGGAGCTGCTCGCGGGGGGCTCGTACCAGATATAAACCCGTATGTGTAGAGACGATGTATAATCCCGAGCATGCATCAAGGGTGTTGAGGAGGGAGGAGGTGGTGCGCGCGGGTATGACGATGCGGTGTGCTTCAAGAGTCTTTCCTGCCAATCATTATTGAGCTGTGCGTGGTGTGGTCCCGGCATGAATATCATGGCGGTCAATGCCACCTTAATAAGCCACAACGGCCAACGAACAAGCCCGATACAGCTAGGTGCCCTCCTTCCCAAAAAATACACTCTGAAGTCGGATGTGATGAATGGATTAGGGTGCCCCTCTAGCAGGGGAGAGCAGGGAATTGCCTCGGGAAGGAGGCCACTGGTGAAGCTGTACCACCCTGTAACAACATCATACATACATAGACACACACTAAACGCCTGGCAAGGATGCTGGAACGCATATGGTCCCACCGCAACTCTATCGTTCCCTTTGGTCGTTAGTATCCTTCATCACTTGTTTCGTTGGGAGTGCGAGGTAGGAAGGTGCTTATAGGCGATTTGGCAGCCCTTGAGCCCTCGGCTCGTACTAGGGTGGTTTGCAGGTACGGGGAACGCACCCACGACCATGCAACAACAACAACAACAACAACTAAACGGCAGGCTTGAGGTACGCAAGGTGGCATAGAAGTAGTGTGGTTAGGGCTAGGGTATGGATAGGTGGCTGAACGGCAGATGAAAGGTGACGGCGGGCAGAGGGAAGAGGACTCTGCAAGGCCTTGCACGACTGCTCAACCTAAAGAAGTCGTGAGAAATTGTTTTGACACCTGTTTCCGCAGCAGGCCGGATGGAGTGTCATGATGAAGGTCTGTTGCAAGAGATTCTCTGCAGTAGAGCGCCGATGCAAAGTATGGTTCTTAAAAGGAAACAAGGGGGCTGCCGTACGAGCAAAGACACCGAAAAGCCCAAATCTAGGTCTATTGTGTAAGTAGTATTGTGAAAACAATAATTGCATATCAATATCACTTGCGTATCACTGATTCGAATGGTGTTCTCCCCGGGTCCGAGATCGTAAGCTTTTCCGTCACCCGAATGCCGTCCGCTGCCTGACGGCCTTCATGGTATCTTCCACTTGCACATCCCCGCTGAGTTCTGGTGCCTGCAGCCTTGCCCCATTGTCTCCATGCGCAACAATGCTTTCTCTATCAAAGCGCTTCGTGTTAGCCGATGTGCCCTGGACGGCAAGTTTACGATACCCCAGTGTCTGCGCTTCTGAACGCAGCAAGCATGGCCGACGATGCATTTCAGTGTTAATGCATAATCCACTCTGGAAGCTTGTAGTGGTAATTTTAGGTATTCCCGTGGCGCCCGCAAGTACGTATGGATGACCCAAGGCAGGACTCTGAAGACTACTATCAATTGATAGTCCCAAACTTCTTGGGCCAACAGCAGTAGACATAACCCTGAATGATTAACGACGGGCACAATGGCTACGTCATCCCTTGCAACCGTCCCAACCGTTGGGCAGCACCCTGGAACAAGGAAGAAGGAAACGCTCTTTGATTCAGCAATCTATCTTTTACTTCGTTGCATATCTCGCCGATTACATCAGACGTACTTAAATAAACTGACTGGTCGATCCTTCAGCTTACTTCCTCCTGTCCTACACGTAGCTTGCAGTCGCATAACCTGGACGTAGCTTATAAGTTATTGTGAAAGCGAGTACTAGACGGATATTGGCCACGGTCAGGCCTAGAATGCCACCCAGGGTTGTCCAAGCAACCGATGTTGGGCATGGCCCTCGTGCCTGGTATGAAAGTCTACCGCCTATCACACGCGCATATGGGACAGTCTTGGCTGTACTGGCTCTGTCGGCAAGCTTCAAAATGATCACCGGATTTTACTTGGTTTTGATTTGGCAACGGGTCTTTAGTCATTTCGAGGTGAGTATCAGAAACAAATCCTAGCGTTATTTAGGGTCAGCATGGCGCTTTGAAAAGGGGGGACTGTGTTAGCCGGCGGGTTGCGTCACGATCGACCGTAGTACCCGTGCGTGATACACAGCCGTGCCTCGCTCGTAAGAGGTCGAGGGGATCCCTTCACTAAGGGCTTTCACCATCCTTGACAGCGTGTTTGTAACAAGAAGGGCTAGGTCCGCTTTCCACTTCGTTGCTGAAGGCATGTCGTCAGGGGCGTGGGTGGAGTCTGATGAGGATACGCCGATAAGATGACGAGGGAAGGCGGCTCCTGGTTTGTCGGCCCTAAAGCTGTATTGCATCTTATGGAGTGGCCATTGTGTCAAATGCCTGCAGCGACGGCATAGCGTGGCCGTGTATATGACGTGCACGGGACTCCCTGACCAACGTCAGGCGTTTTCAGTGAAGAGCCCCAACCCCTCAAGGCTTCTTGTGACACCAAATTGCTGATTCCGCATAAAAGGGCTAGAACCGGTTCGAAACCAGGGCAAAGCCTCCGCGTGGGAAGCTACGCTTGGGACGTATACATACGGGCTTTGGGAGGCTGTGCGAGAGTGCAGGAACTGATCCACAATGCTACATATGTTATTCTGCCTCGCGTGGTTGCGGAATTCTCTCGTGGCCTAGCGGGTCTAAACCTCTTGGTCCCTCCTGGCTTCATTCTTACCGGTATCCGAAATGGCAGCCAGGTCATTCCGTATGTCACCGCACGTGCGAGAGACCATGGCTTGAATTAGACTTTCTGAGGGGACGCTCTCCCAGGAAATAGGTCCCGCTTCTGCCATGCGCATGGCGTGTTCCTGCAGGGTCTGCGGTGATCATTTGGGGCCAAAGATTATTACCGGCTCCGCTGGGTTGGGAAGGGGAAGGGGACGGGCTGAAGGCCTCCACCGTCTCTGTGGGCCCGCGTGCACGCACTGACCTGCTGCTAGGCCACCTGGGTACTGGTCGGTGGGCTCCACGCTGCGGCCACAGCCACAGTGGCCATGGCGGCCCCTCTCTGCCCCCACCCCACTGCTTTTAACTTGCTAAATGCCTTGCAAAAACCCCGCACACAACACCCATCCGTCCGTCGCCAAACTCTCATGAACCTCGGGTGTCCCGCCCGGTGCATAGACACGTGACGTGATCTTCAATTTTGCCCCCAACGATGCCACTCAGTCCTCCTGCCCTGCTCTTCCTTTTCTCCTCTTCTCCCCCCCTCTGCTCCCCCGTTCCTCACACACCGTGTCCTGCTCCTTGGTGGCCCCGGGGTACCATAGGTGTGGCGCCCGCTGACCACCTTCCTGTTCGGCGGCAGAGTGAACCTCACATTGATCTTTCACTTGGTCTGGCTGGTGACGTACGGCAAGGTGCTGGAGACGCAGGTCTTTCAGTTCCAGCCCGCCGACTACCTCTTCATGCTGCTCTTCGGCGCGGCCTCCATCTTGGCCATGGGAGCCGTGCTGCAGTATACGGTCGGCGTGGCCCTGTTGGTGAACGCGGCTGCTCTGATCTTTATGGTCATGTACGTGTGGAGCCGCCATTTCCCGGATCAGGTGCTTTCCATCTGGGGCCTATTCACCATCAAGGCCTTTTACCTGCCCTTCTTTTACGTGCTATTGGACTATCTGGTAACGACAGAAATCCCCTGGGGGCCATGCCTCGGCATTGCGGCGGGCCACTTGTACTTCTATTTAGAGGACCTGTACCCAGCCATGGGAGGTCCAAGGCTGCTGAGGACGCCCCAGTTTCTAAAGAACCTCCTCGCGGACTGGGGCGTGGGCCGCCGCACCAATACGCACGCGGCTCCGGGACAGGACGCCTTCCGTGCGTTCCAGGGGCGAGGACAGCGACTGGGCGCCAGCTGACGAGGGAAAGGAAAGGCGGGTATGTGCATGTGTGCATAGTGCTATGTTGTCCCTGTTGCGCGAGCTTTACAGAACTGCGATTGTGCCGGGGTTGGGCGGGGTAATGGGGAAACAGGCGGCCGCGGACGAGACCCCACGCAAGTAGTCCTGGGAGGTGGATAGGTGGGTGTGGGCATGCATGGTGAGCTTGGTGCGCGTGGCTTGGATGGCCGGGAAGGCAGGGATTCTCAGCCTTTCACCGGTTAATAGATATATAGATGGGAGTGAAGGTTGTAGATTTCCTGTCGTAGCAACTGTGGGTGGTACGCGAGGAGACCTGAGGCAAGGACTGTGCTCTGTTGTTGCAGCTCCTGCTGAAAAAGAAGCAGATGTACAAAGATCGTGTGGATTTAAATGACGCACTCGTTTCGGCGCTATGGTGCCGCCGTGTGCACCCCTCTGCGCAAATCCTGTCTTGGGACCCATGGTTTGCTGTCAAAGTGTGCAGTGCGTCGCAAGCAACGGTTTTCGCGATATGCTTTCGATTTACCGATTTGCTTTCAACAATCGCTGTAATACGTACAGACTGGTTGAGTGAGTGCTCTCACCAAGAAATGCGAACTGGATAAATTTAAGCAGTGTGAAGTCCATGGGGACCCAGGATCGGCCAGTCAGGATAGGCGCGCGAGGCCATCGCTGTACCTGGTGGCGCTCAGGATAAGGATTTTCAAGCACCAGCAATCAGGGTGCTCACTATCGCCGAAAGCATTATTAAGGAACGGTGCAAGCAAGGCCAACTAGCTCTTCATACCTTGGCCACCTGACCGTCCATCGAAACCGCCATAAAAATGTCTAAAACGTCCTATCAGGACACCTATCAGGACACCTTAGTGCATGAGGATACAGATGCAATGCGTGCAGGCCCCGCAAGAATCTACCGAATTGCCAGGAAGAGCACAATTGGCCCTTGCCTGCAAAATCCTACAAGTCCGCAGGCTCCTTCCCGTACGAGGGGCCACCATGCAATGAGCAGGGTAAAGACCATGCGAGCAACACGCCACTGTTCATCCAAGCCCAGTTCTATAACCACATGGCAATCTCTGCTGTTGCGTCGAAAACGGAACACTTAGCAGAGACGTCAGCTGAGGCCAGGTTAGGAAGTCACGCCATTCCACTTGCCGGGTAAGACCTCTCACTGCACTCGCAGCCCCCAGCAGTATAAATTCAAACCCTATGTCAATATTGTCATAACGTTCTTCGATTGAAGAGCGAATGCTTAGCAGGCGATCCAGCACCAGGCCGCCGCCTAACAGGAGACTGCAACGTTCGTGCAGCTGCTGAGCGGCAGCCTCAGTCAGTCTTTCTTCTTCGCCACCTTCTCGCCTCGCTTCTGCTCAAAGGCCTGCCACAGCTTCTCCACCTCGGCTCGCCAAGCGGATTCTGCCAGGTACCCATCCTCGTGGAAGAAGCTGGATATGCGCACGGTGGACATCACCTCACTGCGAACAACCCCGGCATGGGAGGGGGTGTGGCGGCCGGGTTCGGTATTATAAGTGGCAGGGAGGAAATGCACGTGCGGATTGAAACGCAAAGCCTGCCCCCTGCGCGCCTGGCCCAGCTAGCCGTTTGCGTCATGCAATACGAGACACATCCTGCGGTACTTATGCAACCCTTGAAAGACAGCCTACGGGCCAGTTGGTTGGCACAATTCTGACCCAGTGCAATGTACGGCACCCCGCAAGATTTTGCAATAAGAACCAACAAAGCTAGGGACAACGACGCAATCCAAATGCCACTGCAAACACACCCCTGGCCATTCCCCCGTCAAATGGGCATGCTAGGTGTTGCACTTGATAATGCATATGCGTGTTATGCAACCCAACCCTTTGCACGCCCCATTGCATAGTTGCAACTGCTGCCGCGACAGGCCTATTACAGGGCTTTGACATCAGCCGTAGGCGGCCCCACTGACGACACCTACGAAACCGCCTGCCACCCAGCACGTGACTATGATAGAGCCATCCAGCTATGCAGTGTCCGTGTCCACCCACCCGGTAAACAGCCCAAGGGGAGCAGTCCCACTGTGGGAGGACCGACGACACACTGGTGTCGCAGCCGACCAATAAGTCTCGTTGCACACGGCGCCTAGCCCTAGCTAAACAGACAGTCGGGGCCAGCCAGGTTGCTCCCGGACAACGGCTCACAGACTCACATGTCCGGGTCCTCCCGGCCCGTAAGCACCAGCGTGTACTCGTTTGAGAAACGGCCCATGCGGGACGATAACCGCAGGCCCTTTCCATTCTGCGGAGCGCCGGGACAGGGAGCGAGCGAGAAGCGGTGGAGCAGGAGTTCGTAATGTAAGCCACGATGTCTTCTCACGCGTCCAGCCAGCCGTGTAGTGACTTTCAATGCTGCAGCACGTAGATCAGTCCATTGTTCCCACGCGGGGCGATGCGTCCAAGGGCCCGCTGAACTTCCACTTGCCCACCCTAACGGTCCACACAGGTTTTGGCCCCGGGCTAGTCAACCCTTGCTTACGCGGAACGGCTTCGTCACGAGAAATGCATCTCCCTCCATTTTCCAGCTGTAGATGTTCATCACAAAGGTCAGCAGGATGTACGACACGACACAGCCGAAGACCATCCACCAGTTGGCCGGGAATTTCCCTGGCCCGAAGTGAGAGAATGCTGCTATGGCCATTCTGCGTCCAGAAGTAAAACGCGATAAACATGCCGCGTACGTGCAGCTTCAATTGGCTGCCGTTTGGGACACGCAACCCAGCTTACGCTGCAATTCCAAGGCCGATCTTAACGTTGTTGATCATAACGTCCTCTTGGTGCCCATAGTCAAGGATAACCTGGGATTGCACAAAAGACGCGTCCAACGGCTTTGTATAGATCATCGTCGTATCTGTGGCACGCATACCTCTCTTGCAAACTCATCAAGGGTTCCCTTCAAGATTCCTGCGTCGTATAGGTTTGTTAACCTGATCGGTTCACGAGCCGGCTCAGGCGCTATGGGCTTCACCGGCTCCGGCTTTTTACTCCGCCCCATATTTCTGTTAATATTCAATATGCAATATGTCAAAAACAACTGAAACGAAGACCTTGGTCTGTGGTATCGTAATTTGCAATTGCGAGTGATTCCGCAGAGCTATCTAAAAGTTCACTTTGCGCGTAGGCGTTTACCTAGGAGGATCTGTACTAACTTTACTATCGTCGTCTAATTAATGTAAGATGCCTGTATTGTTTGGAGTGGAACGGCAGTTGCTCCGACCGTGCTGCCGTGCATAGCACAACCGCCTTTCAAGTAACCAAACATATGTAGTTCGGTTTTCGTGATGGTGTTTGTATCATACAAATAGGGGGGTCCTTGTGAAGCAGCTGCCCGCGTTTCTAAAGCCCGTATGGTGTTGGATAGGAAGGTGCCCAAGTACGTTTGCGAGGAAGGGAATGTGGCCAGGCTGGAGAGGAAAGTGCAGTGGCATATTGGAATGTGAGATAATCTCTGAGATTAGTCGAAGCTGGTTACAGGGCGTTTGGCGCACGGCGCAATGTACATGCAGTCATGTCGTCGCGCGCTTATACAAGAACAACAGCAACAACAACAAGAACAAGAGCAGCACCACAGCAACAGCGCGTGTACAGTACACGCAATGCGCTGGCGCACCTCCAAGAAATTTATATACACTTGTACAGGCGCATTTTGCGAATCGCACGCGCGCATCCGCACGGTGAAATTCGCTCCTGGCTTTTTTGGGACGATGTACGAACTGTTTATTCGCGAAGTACGACCGGACACATTTGTGCGAGAGGCTGCTTAAATAGGGGGGTCCTTGTGAAGCAGCTGCCCGCGTTTCTAAAGCACGTATGGTGTTGGATAGTAAGTTGCAGAATGGGGCCAGGCTGGAGAGGCAAGTGCAGTGGCATAATGGAATGTAGATGAGTAGAAGCTGGTTCCAGGACGCTTGGCGCACGGCACAATGTACATGCAGTCATGTCGTCGCACGCCTGTATGCAAGAACAACAGGAACAACAACCAGAAGAACAAGAACAGCACCACAGGAACAGCGCGTGCACAGGCCACGTTGCGTCGGTCCTTTGCTATGATGTAGGAACGAAGAATAAGGCCTAGGTTCAGTTTCCTGTTGCGCGTGGATGGCCATGCCAGGACAGGCAACATGATGGGTGAACTCGCACGCTACCAACTTGCCCCCGAGCACGCGACGAGCGTACATAGAAAGGAGCGCAGCGGGCCCCCCCTTTTCCCCCAACGCTCACGCAATAGACCATCCCAAGCGCTGCTGTCCGTATGGGCCGCAGCCGCCGTTCACACACGAGTTAAGTCCGACATGTATTCACCGTGAATGAAACCCCAAGTGTGATCGTGCCCAAATACAACAGCACTGCCCAATGTCCAGAAGCCTAGGGCCGAAATCGTGGGACCCTGTCCGTCAAGCGTTAGGTGTCCAGTTGCTGTGTGGGCTAGGCGAGCGTGGCTGGGGCGTCATCGTCTTGGACTGTCACGGCGGTGGGCGTGTGGGCGCTGCCGGCGCGTTGCCGGCTCATCGCGTAGAAGGCCGGGCTGGCGGAAGGCGGCCCGCGCAGCACATTGTAGCCGCCCGGCCCCCGGGCCTTGAACTGCGCGATGTAGAGGGCCTCCATCTTTTGGGCCAGAGCAGGATTGGCGGTGCGCAAAGCGTATGATGGTCGACCCCGCCGGCTAAAGCTACACGTCCCCAACTGAAGATATTCTCGGTGGTTTACCAGCAGGTGTTGTGCTTCTTGCTGTCTGATGTCCTGAACGCTTCCTCTTCCCGCAGCCGTTTCAAGCGCCCAGCCTTGCAAGCTACGTTGTATGCTTTCATATCTTTTCATATCTTATTCAGCTCAGGCTAAGCAGCCAGCCAAAAGTCCGAGATGCATACCGCTTGTGACTGCGGCCAACATGCCCTGATGAGCGGCCTTTCGCCGAAAAAATTACATACACTTTTACAGGCGCATTTTGAGAATCGCACGCGCGCATCTGCGCGGTAAAATTCGCTCCTGACTTTTGGGTCGATATGTACGGATGTTTTATTCGGCACAGTACGACCGGACACATTTGTGCGAGGGGCTGCTTAAATACTATCGGAATGCATCTCTTCAAAGCCGAGACGGGTTTTCATTCCATTGCTGGGGCCAGCGTCGTTATGTTATTGCTTTTATGCCTGGATATAGATAGCGAGAACTAGGATAACTACCATCCTTTTGCATGCTAGATGGGTGAAACCTGAAGGAAAGCTAAAGTCTCATTTCTAATCCTCGGAGACTCTCGCCTTGCGGAGAAGGGCTGCTTCGGTAGGTTTATAATATAATCATAATCAATTGATGCGATGCAAGGGAATGAAGTGATCGGGTCTCAGCTTAGCCGTCATCGCCTGCTTCAGCTGTCCGTCCGCATGCATAGCGCGTTAGAGCCGCGTTCAGGTTGCCGATTTACACCAAGGAATGCTTCCCCAATCCCGTCGCCGGATGCTTTCCCCGTTATCAGCATCCGGAACCGGGGCCCCCTTGCAAACCCCTCATTCCACTCCTTTCCCCCGCACTCGTAAACATACACATACACATACCCCTGCGCCCTGCCACAGCTACCCATAACCTTATCCCCGCCACATGCGGACGGGACATCTCCGGCCAATTCCCTGAACCCTGCGGTCCCCGCTCGCCGCCGAGCTGTGGCCGCCACGGGTCCCCCTGGAGGGGCCGGGAGGGGCCCACCGGTCCCTCCTCCACCCGGCGCTGCGCTCCTCAACAAGGGGCAGCAGCAGTAGAAGCAGGAGCAGTAGGAGGTTACTACAGCAACCGCAGTGGCAGCTACGGTAGTGTTAGCACGCGCCTCTGCGAGCGCTACAGGGGCCCGCTGTACGGAGGGTCCTTCTAACTCCTCCCCCCCAATCGCTGATACCGCAGCCATGCAGCCCGAGCCCCCCCCGGCCCCGCACCAGCCCCATCCGGTGCACGTGTCCCGACCCCGAGTGGTGGTCCACATCGATCTGGACTCATTCTACTGCCAGGTAAGTCCGAAAGGGGTGGGTGCGGGGGAAGGTATGCGTATGTATGTATGTGTATGAGGGGGTAGGTTGCGGCCTCGTGCCTCGGCCTGGTGGTGGGCCATATAGGCTGGCGGCCCCGTGGGGGCCGCACATGTCGCCTCACAGACACACACATACGCACTCATCACGTTATGTCAGTCACGTCCTTGTGGCAGGCAACCAAGCCCCTCCCCAATCCCCCGGGGGTCCGGCCCCCAGGGGTCAACCTCCCGCAACCCCCTCGCGCCTCCCCGCCCATCGTCCCCTCCTAAGGCCGTCGTTCATCGGCCGTATGGTATGACCGTCCAGATGCCACCTCATGCCGTACATGTTCGTACATATATGCCGAAACTTAGGCCCCCCAAAGCCCGTCCGGCGTTCCCGCCGCGTGTGGACCAACCCCACGGGGTTTACCTCCCCCTATCGTCTTTCCAGGTGGAGGTGGTTCGCAACCCCTCCCTCCGCGGACAGCCAGTGGCGGTAGTGCAGTACGACCCACGGGACAGGGAGGCGCCCAGGGAGGCGCTCACACCCGAGGTAACGGCCCGGAGGGGGAAGTATCTATTTGTGTGTGTGTGTATGTGGTGGGGATTAAGACGAATTTAAGGCGAACTGTGGGGTAGTGGGGGAAGAGTGGGACCACCTCCCGCGTGATGCGATGTGAAGGGGAGGAGGGGGGGGCCCGGGGTGCGGGCGGCTCCCATGTGTCCTAGCACGGTCCGACCCGCGGTCTTTACCCACCAAACCAAAACCCATTTCGACATCCCTGCCCCACCTGTATCTGCACCCCTGTACAATTGCCGCGCTGGCAGACTCTCCGTACAATTTGCAACGCACATACACACAACCATACCTCAATTCCGATGGTGGCTAGATCTCACCCGCCCTATTGCCCCTCCTGCCCCTGCTGCCTGCGAGTTACCGGGTCTAACTCCCACTTCTTCCCTCCCCCCCCAACCCCCAACCTAATCCCAGGACAACCGCATTTTCAACGACAGCAACGGCAACGTCATTGCGGTGTCGTACGAGGCCAGGCGCTTCGGCGTCAAACGGTGGGCGGCCGTTAGTAACCCTTGCAATGATTATGGCGGTTATGGTGGTTATGGCGACCGGCTGGGGAAAGTGGTGAGACTTACCCTCCCCCTACCTCCCCCCGCCCCCGCCCCCGCCCCCTTGGCAATACTATTTCTTCTGCTTTTTTAGTCCTGGCGGCTTAGGTAGGTAGTCTTTCCGACATCTTCTTTACTTCGTCATCCCGAGGTCGCCGCCTTCAAGAACGCCTTTTGGTCAGTTCTACGTTTGATACACTCTTGCCCTGGCAGCAGCTTCAATCATTTGTGGTTCGTCTTTCCCCTCTCCGGCCCCCTCCCCTGATACCCCTGTGGTAGGAACATGTCCGGCCAGCAGGCGAGGCGGCTGTGTCCTTCATTGACATTGGTGCAGGTGGGGGCCAGTGGGATGGCGGGTTGGGGGGTTTGCCGTACGCTGGGGCCGTACTCCCCCTCTCCGCTCTTTGCCTTCCCCGGCAGCCCCCGCGAGAGTTGGAGCTGCCCCCGAGCCCCGAGTCCCCCGAGCCCTGACCGGCAGCGGTGACACATCTCCCCCCGCACCACCCGTAGTTGTGTTGGCCATGTTCATCCCACCATCTGAGGGGGGTTGCTGTCTTGCTGTCCTTCACTGCACCCCACATGACCTACCCGGTTGCCAGGCCGCCCGCGCTGGCACATGACGTGTTTTTCCCTCCCCCCTGTCGCCCCCCCACCCCCCCCCCGGGGGCCCCCGGCCGGACTAGGTCCCCACCGCCCACGGCAAGGCCGACCTGGGGATCTACCGCCAGGCGGGACATCAGGTGGGGGGAAGGAGGGGCATTGATGTAGGTAGGTGGGGGGTATGTATGTATGTATGTATGTATGACTTAGATTACACTGTGGGCCGCGAGAGCCGGGGGCCGAAGCCGAAACACAGCGCAAGGGTCGGGAGCACACAGCGCAAGTCGGTTAGTCTTGTGTGCTTCCGACCCCGACTCAGACTCTACGCAGCCACTCCGCAGCACCTCCGTCCGTCCGGGGTTGGCGCTGCAGTGAAAACACGACGAAGGGCTCTCAGGTCCCGCTAGAGCATGTCCACAAGCCTCGG